CCTAAGTCTAATTCCCCAGAAGCCACATTGGGGAAAGGGAGAACTGGTTTCCACAATGTATTCTATGACCCCCTACACTAGCTTCCTTTACCACAGGCCAAGCCCACATCTTTAATACATGACTGCATGACACTTACCTGTAAGACAGCAAAAAGAGAGGGCCCTTCCTCACAGACACTAAAAATATAGAAATGCTGGCACATTTAGAAAGCCATCAGCTTGCAAGGGTGACATTTGCTTTGGCCAAGGATCATCAATTTAAGTTGTCAACAGAAAGGCAATCCTTGTTATTCTGGGTTTGAGGTAGATAGGCCAGGGCTGTCAAATGAGAGTGGGCGTAAGAGAAACGTCCAAAGCACAACCCACAGGTGTCACTACTTACAAAGGAGCCATTGCCTCCCATGGAGACTCCTGGTAGTGAAGAACCAGACAGAAGTAACTTGTAGGATGGAGGGCTGGTTCAGCTTCCTTCCTCAGGCCTCATCTCCTACGCAGTCCACCACCGCCCAGCAGCTCCTCAGGCCTCATCTCCTACGCAGTCCACCACCTCCCAGCAGCTCCTCAGGCCCCAGGCCAGGCCTTCAGCACATGGACTGTTATAGGACATGGAGATAAACTGCAGTACAGATCAAAGAAGAAACAGAAGGTTGAAAATAATAGAGAACACTCTAGACCAGTGGTTCTCAGCCCTCCTTCAATACGGTGCCTCGTGTTGTGGTGACCCCCAAACCATAAAATTATTCTGTTGCTACTTCGTAACTGTAATTTTGCTACTGTTATGAATCATAAGGTAAATATCTGATATGCAGGATATCTGATATGTGACTCTCGTGATAGGGTCATTCAGTCCCTCCGGGGAGGGGAGGTGTCAAACCCCACAGGTTGAGAACCACTGCTTTAGACAACAAGACCGGTAGACAGAGGTGGTATTCAGCAGGAAGGCAGACACAGATGGGCACAGCCAAAGTGACTCCATGAGCAGGCGGAGGGCCCCATGATTGCCTGGTGTTCCCATCTCCACGGGGCTCTTTGCTTTGAAAGTCACAATAAAAGTAATAAGGTTCCTCCCATAAGAAGCTGGGGACTTACTATAATAATAAATAGTAATAAAGAGCCTACTGTCTGCTTCTCCAATTTGGAATTTGCCCAAACACAATTTAGCACTTCTGGGAAGTGGCCATGGATGTCTTGTGTGTAAATTGCAGTCTTGACCAGGGCTTCAGATATAGCCCTTAAAATGTCCCTTTCTGGACACTTGCTTATCCCAGAACCCACTCAGAGGATATTATCAGGTGGTGTGTTTCAATACGGGGACTAGAGGAGAGGTGGGTCAGAGGTAGCTGCTGCCATGGATCTGGGAGTGAAGTCCCACCTTGTGCACAAGCACTGTTGACAATAGTAATGGGCAACATTCCCTTTGATTAGGTAATCCACTGAGCAACTCAGGGCCTTCAGTGAGACAGTGTACAACAACTAGATTCCTACTCCCTGTGAGAGCTGCTGGAGAATACCTCGCAGACTGAGTCACGTGGGAAATGCCAAGTCTGAGCTGTCCCTGTCACCATGATGTAGGCAAAGGAGGCCATGAGAGTGGTCACATCTCCCCGAGGCACTGCTGTAGGGCTGGGCTCAGCTAAAACGTCGGAAATGGCGCACCCGGGTGTTTAGACAATCTGGGTTTGCTCTCTAGACTTGTCCCAACTGCCTGTGCATTCCAATTGTTGGACCCTGCTGGTGTAAACAAGCCAGCTCTCAAGTCTTACTGCGTGCAAAGTGTCTTTATTCTGGGTTCTAAATCTTTGGCCATGTGACTCACAGTGAGAAGCCGGTGGTGCCCCAGGAGACAGCACAGAAAAGTCTGGTTTCAGAATGAGGTTTGGAAACTGCCAGCACTATTCTGAGAGAGCACATGTGCACCGGAGCATCAGCCAGTGGTGACTGGATGTGACTATAGGGACCCTCCCCTTCTCTTCCCTGTTGTTTCCCCAGAGCAACCTGGGCTTTGTTTGGCTCTCATTTATGCACAGAATATTGTGAGTATTGGCCAAGATGGCGTGCGAGGCTCAGGACAGCCATGACCAGTCTAACTCAACCCAGCTCCAGCTGTGAAGGCACAGGGTGCTCAGCTACTCTGACAGCTTTCCCTCACAAGCCCGAGCCCCAGGCAGACCTCAGGGAGGCAACAGAGCCCAGCTCCAGCAGGTCCAGACAGGCAAGGAGGGACACAGCCCCAAGCTTGCCCTGTTCCCATATGGAATGTTCCTGGCGATGGGCTCTACCTGCCACTCCCTTGACCCAGCTATGAAAACCTCCCGTGTAGGGCTGGGTTCCCTCAAATACCACCCTTTTGTCCCATCTTGTCACTTATCACATTCCCAGGCACATCATTCTGTCAAAACAGCACCAGTATGTGTGTATGTGTGTACATGTGTGTATGCATGTGCATGCATGTATATGGGCACATGTATATGTGTGCACTTGTGTATGTATGTGTATATATGTGCATGTGTATGTTTATATATGTGTGTGATTGTGCATATGTATGTGTTATATGTGTACATATATGTATGCATATGAGTGCATGTGTGTGTGTACATCCTACTGGCTGCTGTTGCTTCTCCTTTGACCCGGCTATACAGCCATCCTCCAGGGGATGGGCAGCTGCATTGCTGCCAGCCTCTGTTGCCATTAGTGAGGATCCAATGACAGACTTCCCAGGTTTCAGGGGCCAGTGTTGGGTAGATTGTCCCCTAGAATGGCTCTGGGCAGCCACTAGCTCCAGCAGAAGGATGCTGGCCTTTCCTTAGACCACCTGCAGTCTGCCTCTGGACCATACTCAAAGATTTGACCTGTGACATTGGTTTCATGGTTTAGCTTCCTTCCTCCCTTCCTTCCTTCCTTCCTTCCTTCCTTCCTTCCTTCCTTCCTCCTTCCTTCCTCCTTCCTCCAACCCTCCTTTCCTTCTTCCCCTTTCCCCCTTCTTCTCTGTGTCACTCTTTCCCTCTCTTCCTTCTCCCTTCTGTCATGGATATTGAACCAAGGGCCTTGTAAAGGCTAAGCATCTCTACCCATACCCCTACCCCAGCTCCTAAACTGTATTTGTCTCCCCTCCCCCATACTCTCCAGGTCTCACTATGTAGCCCAGGCTGGCCTGGAGCTCATGACCTCCTACTCTAGCCTCTTGAGTACTGGGATTGATGTATGTGCCATCTTGTATGTCAGAGCTGAGGATGAACAGCTCGACCACTGAGTCACACTGCAGCTCTCCTCTCGCTGTTTCGAGCTGTACAGCACATTACTGTTATAGCTAACCAAGCTTAGCCTGCTATGCAACACAACCACAGAACTACCTAGCTGAAGCTGGGACCTTCTGACCAATCTGTCCTCTGGCCTTTCACCCCCACAGCCTCTGGTGACTTGATTTTCTTTCCAGCTGTAAGATTTGTGTCTGTTTTCCATACAGGAGTGAGAACACGTGGCTTTGTCTTTCCACGACTGACTTGATTTTCTTTCTATTTAAATAATTTCAATTTTTAAAACTTTATGTGTATGGGTGTCTTGCCTGCATGTGTCTGTGCATCACATGTATATCTGGGGTCCTTGAAATCCAGAAGAGGACATTGGATCCCCTGGAACTGGAGTTATAAATGTTTGTGAGCTATCGTGTGGGTGCCAGGAGTTGAACCCAGGTCTTCTGAAGAGCAGCCAGTGCTCTTAACCACTGGGCCTTCACGCTAGGACTCGACTTCTTTTTCTTTTCTTTTCTTTCTTTTTGTTTTTTTCCTTTCTTATTTGTTTGTTTTTTTATTTGAGACAGGGTTTCTCTGTGTAGCCCTGGCTGTCCTGGAACTAGCTCTGTAAACCAGGCTGGCCTTGAACTCAGAGATCTGCCTGCCTCTGCCTCTCAAGTGGCAGATTAAAGGCGTGCGTCACCACATCCAGCCTGACTTCTTTTTTTAAACACAAGGTTCTTCCTTTCTATTCATGTTGGCTGATGCAAATGGCAGGATTTTCTTCTCGTTTGAGAATGCGCAGAAGCCCTTTGTTTAGCATGGTTCTTATCCACTCCTCCTCGGATGACATGCAGATTGACTCCCTATCTGGGCTACTGTGAACACTACTGCAGTGAACTTGGAAGTGGAACTGTTGGGCTTTATGTCCCTTCAGGATTCTGAAGACCCGGGAATACGTAGAAATGAAGTAAGAGCACGGGATAATCAGGACTGTAACATTGATTTTTCCCGTGTTGCTCACTGGAGAACCCACTGTGTGCTGAGAACTTGCTGTAAGAAGGGACCTGTGGTGGTTAGGTGTGGTGGAGCACACCTAAAATCCCAACACTCTAGAATCTGAGACAGGAGAATTTTGAGTTCAAGTTAGTCCTGGGCAACTTAGTGACACCTGTCTCAAAAGAATGAAAAACCAGACAAACAACAATCAAGTGACGGTGAACTCATGTCATTCTCACAATGACTCAAAGGCCCACTTTTCAGATGAGCACATAGGGGTACAGGTCACTGTATATGTAAATCCCCGCCAAGGCCTTGAACCCTGAAGCAAAGTCCAGATTTGTAGGATCTACATAGGTACCTAATGGCCTGGGATAGTCTCCGATGGCTTCCTGGGAGGCGTGATACTTCAGTGGAGAATTGAAGAAGGGACAGCAGGAATTGACCAGGCAGCAACACAGGATGAGGTGGTCCAAGAGGACTGAGGGAGGGAAAGATACCTAGGGAAGCCAAGAGCTGTTTGGGCAGCCTAGAGAGTGGGCAGTGGACAGGAGGGTGGGCCAGGGAGGACTAGAAGTGCCCAAACCCTGTGGTCTCACAGCCAGGTCAAGCTGAGCCCCCAGTGCTGAGCCAACAGGGACAGGTCACCCACCTGTACTCCCTGGACTGAGGCGCAGGCGCAGGTCAGCAGGGTGGCTTATTTACATGCCCAGGTCGAGGGGAAAACCCAGGAAGTGTGGCCTAGGCCTAACAAAATCTCAGGCTAATAATAAACGCCCTGAGTAATGAGTGGCGTGGGCCAGGGCAGGCAGGAGGCTGGAGCCGGTGGCACAGGAGCGTGGTGAGTAGCCAGCTGGGTGGGTGAGGGCCACGAAGGTGCTCTGGGGGCTGCGGATCCAGCATTGTCAATATAGGTACAGGCTAGAGCTACCCAGCCTTGCGACAGCCCCTCTCCCGTGTGCGGGAGAGGTCTCCAGGTTCTCCTTACCTGCCAGGGTAGTGGGGCCTAGCCAAGCATGTAGGGGTCTTCTTTTTGTATCCACACGCTTCAGCTTTTCTCCTCATGCCCCTGGATGATTTTTAAGTGAATTGGGTAGATTTTAGGTATCTTGAAATTCAGCATTTGGAACTCTGTCCCTGCTTAACCATCATTAGTTTCTAAGAATCCTTAAAGAACACCCAAGAGCACAGGTGTTGAGCATGAGGTGCCGTTGGTGTCCTCGGTAGCTAAATTCAGCCCAGGTCCTTCACGGCCGGCAGCAGAAGCTGGGTGCCATGTTTCCACCTCTCCCTGCCCCCACGCTGCTCCCCACGCTGCCTTCTCCTCCTTTTCCTTGTGGATAACTGTGGACAAATCAGGGCTGTTTACATGCAGTGCTGCCGGGGTTTTAGGGGTTTCCTCTAAGGTTCCCCATCAGGACTCACTGCTCACAGCAGCTCTACCTATCCCCACACCCAGACTCGCCTCAGGCAGGCCCTTGCTAGAATTTTCGTCACTGTCCAGCAACCATGTCCAAGGATGCCAATACATAAGTTTTTCAGAGAATCCCATGGGGCAGTGGCCAGGGCCATCTTGACCCAAGAGAAAATATCAAAGGATCTGGGACCAGGAGTTAGGGATCAGCTAGAATGTGCTGGAACCCACAGCAGCTTCTTGGTGCTGCTATGAGTGTTGAGAGTTCACGTTACAACTGTTTGTACACTTGGCCTTGGCCTGGGATGAGCTGCTTCTCTTCACCTACAAAATGACTCTCAAAGCCACAAATCTGCTTTCAATCCCTCAAACCTTGGTGAAGAGTCCAAAGACTCTGAAGTTAAAAATAACAAAAATCCTCTGACTTAAATAATATTTTAATATTTCTTATATTTGTTCCACCATGAAATATGTATATGTTCTTTCTGCTCATAGTTCCTCTATAATAATAAAAGCTAAAACAGTTACACATGAAACTAAAAGTAGAAAACCATTGGCCAGGTGTAGTAGCACACACCTTTAATCCCAGCACTCGGGATGCAGAGGCAGGTAGATCTCTGTGAATTTGAGGCCAGCCTGGTCTACATAGTGAGTTTCAGGACAGCCAGGGCTACACAGTGAGACCCTGTTTCAAAAAATCCAAAATAATGATAATAAATAAATAAACAAAAATAATAGCCATTAAAATGAAAGTAAGCACCTTAATATATTTCACGTAACAAATAATTTTGTTTTGCTCACATAGAAAAATGTGTTGTATGAAAATGAAATAAACCATAAGTATTTTGGTCTAATAGCAAGAAGCTGTAGTTTGGCCTTCATGATGTTCTTAAAACTGTCGGAGTGTTTCATTCTAACGGCAGTGTGGTACTACTTACTCACATTGGCCTCTGGCTGGTATTGAAAGGCTCGAGGCTTTCCTTCCTCTTTCAAGGTATTCACAATAGCAGCCAAACATGTCGTGTGTCCAGTTTTCAAAAGGTGGGAACTGAGGCCAGGGTGAGTGGTGAGGAACCCTGCCGGTGTGGGACCTGGGACAGAAGCCCCTGCTGCATCCCCGGCTTTGCACATCTTAATCAGTGACCTCACATTCCTCTGTAAAGGAGCCCGCAGCACCACGTTGCAGATGTGCTACGTCTTTCTGTGTGATGCAAACTGCTGTCTTAAGTTTCTTTAGCAGGTTCCAAACTAATCTGCTACAGCGGTCTTCCATGGGGCAACATCTGCCATCATGTTGGGAGGGCTTTAGGAATTGGATGTCCTGCTGACTCTTGGGCTTCATCCAGGGTATGGGGAGTCTCTGTTGATCTGAGCCCAGTGCATAGATCTAGATTCTATGAGTGTAATCCTCCTTCCCTGCTAGGCCACCGTTATCCTTGGGGACCTTCTGCCCAGCCTAGGGACTGGTGCTTCTGGGCTTTGCATGGATCTGGGTGCTGGGTGAGAAAGAAGGGTGGACGCAGCTCCTTCTGATCAATCAGCCGGCATTTGCCCTCGCTCACCCTGTGTCTTCCCATCTGACCCAGTGGCTTTGTGTGGGGGCTCCAGACATCCAGTGGACCATGGAGCCTCTCAAGCTGGCCTGCCTATCTAACCTGCTTCACAATTGTGTAGCCATCACCACAATCAAACTTGAGGATGTTTTCCAGACCCCAAAAGAAACCCTGTCAATCTTCATTTCTCCCACCTCCAGCCAACCCATTTCCCATCTCTAGAAATCTGCTTATTTGGGATATTTTATCAGCAGTGTCACTCAGTGTGCGCTGTAACTTACTATTAAGTCTTACTACGCAAGTTTTCACAAGTCACCCGTGTTGTAGCATGATCATTATTTTGTGTTCATAGCCGAATAATACCGCATTTTTTATCCATTCATCAGCTGGCCAGCATTTGGGTAGTTGCTACTCTCTGCAGACTGAGGGCAATGCTTTTGTGAAAGTGTGCTTATATTTTTGGCATATCCATTCTTTTGTATAGTCAGCTGCCTAGATTTGGAATTGCTGGCTTGCATGGTGACTCAGTTGGAGGTTTTTGTTTTGTTTTGTTTTGTTTCCACACAGGGCTTCTCTGTATTGTTTTGGAGGCTGTCCTGGAACTCACTCTGTAGACCAGGCTGGCCTCAAACTCACAGAGATCCACCTGTCTCTGCCTCCCGAGTGCTTGGATTAAAGGTGTGCGCCACCACTGCCTGGTTTCAGTTCAATGTTTTAAATGATTGCCAAGCCACTTGACAAAGTGGCCACAATGCTGTGTATTCCCATTTAATGCACAGGATTCTCATGTGTCCCTGTCCCCCATCTTCTCGATACAGCAGCCCCAGCAGGGGGCATGGCTGCTCACTGGTTCCCTTTGCCTTCTCCAGTGCTGAGCTGGGCTCCTTCCCTGAGCTTGTTGCACATTCACATATATTTTTGGGGAAATTTCTATCAACGTTTTATCCCATACCCTAAGTCTTTGACAAATTTTGAGTTATTTTTAATGGTATCAGTTAAGTACTTAACTTCATTCTTTTGCATGTGTCTATCCTGCTTTCCCTTCAAGATTGATTGCTGTAGCATCTTAAACATATGGCATGTTAGTTTGAATGATGCCCACTATTCATTGAAAAGGCTGAGTTTTGCCCATTGAATGCTCCTGTAAAGAAGGCTCACACATGCAAAGGCTTGTTTGTGCTCCCCATCCAGCTGCACTGGCTGGATCCCTGTCTACACCGGTACCCCACTGCCGGCTGTGGCAGCCCTGCATTGTTTCATAACCAGAAGTGGGAGTCCTCCAGCTTTGCCCTTCTTTTTAAGATTATTGTGACGGCTCAGTTCCTTGCAATTCTGTTTGAAGTTTTAGATAGCCTTTTCTATTTATATTTTTAAAAAGTTGTTAGGATTCTGTTATAGATTATATGATTGGTAGATTGTTTTTGGGTCATATTGATTTTTTTAAGTCTTCCAGTCTATCAACACAGGCATCTTTTGATTTATCTAGGTAATTTCTTTCCACAATATTCTATAGATTTGGCATATACGTCTTTCAAATCATTGGTTAAATTTACTAAGTATTTTATTTCTTTTTGTGTCATTATAAGCTAAATTGTTCCTTAATTTCCTCTAGCAAGCCTATGAAAATTCAATGGGTTTTGATTGTTGAATTTTTTTAGTCTTGTAACTATGCTTTTATCAGCTTAGCACTTTTGTAGTCCTTCTTACTATAAGATCATGTCATCTGTGGACAGAGGTGGACGTATCTTTCCTCACTCCAATTTGGGTACCTTTATTTAGTAATATCATTATTATTTTGCCTAAGTGCCAGGGTTAGGGCAGGTCTTTAATCTAATTTCATCTGTATTCAGCAACTGCGTCCACAGATACAGGTTCACCAAGGATATCAATATATAAAGTTTCTCAGAGAAGGGAATGAGGCATTGATCAGAGGCCACCTTGACTCAAAAGAAAATGCCAAGGACCTGGGGCTGGGAGTTGGATAGCAGCCAGAATGCATAGTTGACCCAGTACTATGCAGAGCAGAAAAGGGTGAGGGGTACAGTCTTGCCTCATTCCTGATCTTACCTAATTTGGTTTTTTCCCACAAGCACTTTATTAACTGTAAAATCTTTTGTCTATGGCCTTTCTTGTGGGAAAGGGTTGGTTTTAACCCTAGTTTATTATACCCCGTGTTTCCCTGTTTTTGTCTTGTTTTATCAGAAAAGGTGTTGTTTTGTCAAATGCCTCTCTGCATCCATTGGGATGAATGTGGCTTCCTTAATTCTTTCAATGTTGTATGTGGAACCGATGGCTTCTTGTAGTCTAGAAACAATCTCCTTTGATCGAGGTGACTAACACGTTCTGCATGTTGGGTGTGCTGACATTTTGTTGAGGAACTTGCACCTGTATTCATGGACCTATTGGTCTGGGGTTTTCTTTTTCTTTTAATGTCTCTTTGGGGCTTGACATAAGATGTATTTTATCTGATAATAATTGTAAGTTTGTATCAGCTCTTTGGACACTATTTGCATAAAGTGTCTTGCTCTGTGCTTTTACTTTACATCTTCTGTGTTCTTTGATCTAAGCGCTGGGGTTGGGGTGTGGCTAAGCACTCTGGGCCCCGGGCTGCATCAGAAACACCACCACAAACAAAAACAAATCTTCTATAAATAGCGTATAGATGAGTCTTGTGGGTTTTTGCAAATCTGTCTGCCCATTTCTGCCTTTAAATACAAGCATTCAGATTGTTTATTTAATATTTTTCTGATAAAGATTTATTTCTGCTGTTTATATTTTGCTTCTTGTTATTTATTCTGGGCATGAATGTGTGTATGTGTGGGGATTCAGTGCCATGAAGAATGAGTGGAGGCCAGAAAACACCTTGTGGGAGCAGATTTTCTCCTTCTGTATGTGTTCAGGTGAACTCAAGTGTGCAGGACTGGCAGTAGGTACCTATACACTGAGTCATGGCACTGCCCCACCCTCTTTTCTGAAGATTTTAAATTATTTTCTCGGTGATTATCTTAAAAAATTACAATTAACAAATTAATCTTATGATAACTTAATTTGAGCATCTACTTAGTTTCATTAATATGAAAACTCTGTTCCTAAAGATCTCTGCCCATTTCTTTTTGTGCTATTATTGTTACATATTTACTCTTTGAACACTGAATGTTTATTGCCATAGGTTTTAAATAATTGTTTTATGTAGTGTCTATTAAATTATGTAGAGAAACAGGAGTTTCAACTCATAACAAGAATGCAGTAATTCTTCCCTTTATAAAAATTTATCGTGGCTGGCCTGTTAGTGCAGGCCAATGACCCCAGGTACCTGAGAAGCTGAGGCAGCAAGATCACAAGTTCAAGGCCCTCTCTTGGCTAGAAAGGGGGTTCAAGGTCAACCTGGGCCAATTCAACAAGGCCTTGCCTCAGCGTAACTCACTGGCACATGTGCTGCTTGGGTGCAGGCTAAAGGAGGGGAAGGGGGAAGGCCCATAATCAGGAGGCAAGTTCTCCTCACTCCCCATGCCAGGAATACCTAGTGCTGCCCCTGGGCCTGCCAACTTCGAGTTCTGCTACTGTCACTGCCCTCTGCCTCTGAGGACTTCCGATGGAGCAATAAGCCTGCCTGACTGAGAAAAGAAGCTCAGCTTTCTTTCTCTGAAGAGTAAATAGACACTGAAAAGTGCTTCAGGGGAAGCTGTGGCCAAAACAAATGACACAGTCAGAGTGAAGCCTCAAAGCAGCAAAGCAGACAGCTGCACACAGCTCTGTCAGAGGCAGATCATGTGTGTAACACACCAGGCAGGGTCTCCAACCCACAGTGGCGAGTCAGAATGTCCGCTCTACTCCTGGGTGCAGCAAGTGTGCTGGGCCTTGGTGCGAGCCGGGCCTTGGTGTGAGCCATAATCAAGACATGGGCTTTATACAAAGCACCATTGTGATGTTTCATGTGTCAGTGAACAAGAAAAGGAGAGGAACTCTGCATTGAGTGCCTGCTGTAGGCTTGGCACTGAGGTCTGCTTTTAAAAACTTTGTTCATTTAGTGGGCACCTACTAAATCCTGAGGACCCAGCACTGGACCAGGCCTTGCCAAATGATGCCTGGGGTGAATCTAAACAACGGTGGGAAGCAGCCACACTCACGAATGCCAGGGTGACGTGAGGAGCAAGAGGGGAGCATGCCAGTGGGAGACAGTAGGGTCCCTCTGAGGTCCATGCGCCGATGACAAGAAAGGAGGGTCACGTGAGGCAACAGACCGTGGAGATGAAGCAGCCTTGGACGGATGGCGTGCTGTACTGGGCTAGAGGGACAGCTCTGTGGTAAAGAGCACTTGCTGCTTTTGCAGAGGACACGGGTTTGGTTCCCAGCACCCATACAAAGCAGCACACAACCACCTGTAACTCCAGTTCTAGATGATCCAGAGTCCTCTCCTCGACACCACAGACACCAGGCATACACTCTGCATGAAGGCCTCCACATAGACCATTAACAGACAACGTTAGGTACCTAGGCACATGCCTGCACACATGCAGACCAGCACACCGGCCTCATAGGCACACCCGCAGGCACACACAGACAAGCTGGCAAAGGTGAAGACTAAAACCCTTGCCTCTGACCTCAAAGCCATATTTATACAAAGTCACATAAAAATGACATTCTGTCAAGGACAGTTAGAGAAGAGATGACATCATTGTTTGCTTTTGGGTTCCCCAGATATCCAGTGTCAGTCATTTTGTGCTGATTCATGGACCCCTGATGTAGTCTAACGTTAGCCATCTGGCCCATGCTGGATATCTTTGTCAGTGCCAGGTTGTCTAAACATAAATCGGTCCTCACAGTCCTCCGCTTCCCACAGTCTCCCAGGAGTAATGAGATTCAGACCCATGTCAAGGATGATGGGGAAATAAGCAGAGATCCTGGGTGGAGACCTGGAACACATGGAGGACAATGTGGGGACAGATAGGGTGCAACTCTATTAGGCAGGGATCCTCAGAGAAACCATTTTACAGATGGGAAAAGGTTAAAAAGGGAAGAACCCACCCCAGAATGTGGCCGGAGAAGCCGCCTGGGTTCCGTTTGGTCATCTGCTCTCCTAACCTCCATCTCTCCTTCCACAGGACTGGTGGCCAGGGTGACTATGGCATCCTGCCCCAAAGAGCAGTACTGGGACTCCTTGACAAAATCCTGTGTCTCCTGTGTCCCCTGCAGCCAGAGGAACCAGCGTAGCTGTACAGAATTCTGCAGTGAGTTCTCTGAGCCATTCCCTCGCCTGACTCAGAGCCCCTCTGGCCTGTCTGCAGCCAGGTGGAGGAGCAGAGATAGAGGGATGAGATGTACCACGTGGTCTCTCCCCTTAGCCTTCCAGCTGCTTGCACATGTCCATTCTTTCCTGCCCCACACCTTTGGAAACTGCCTACTCCCCTGCCTGGAAGGCATTTCCCTAGTCTTCCCTTAGCTTCTTTTCACTCAGCCTTCAGTACCTCTTATGGATGTCCTGGATGACTTCTCTGACTACAAAGGAGGAATTATTCCTCATCCTGTGACCCTTCATCTCTTTCTCCTCCTTAAGAATTTTTTAAACTTTATTCTTTGGTAATTCAATACACAAAAACAACCTCTCTCTCTCTCTCTCTCTCTCTCTCTCTCTCTCTCTCTCTCTCTCTCTCCTTTTTGACAGGTCTATTATGTGATTCAGGCTAGTCTTGAACTTGAGACCCTTCTGCATCAGCCTCCTGATTGCTGGGGTTACAGGAGTGGACCTCCTCCCTGCTCTACTGCTGCCTTGCTTTGAAACTATGGGAATTATCAAACATATAAACACGGGCATAGGAGAGCATAGCACACCCACATGCACATCTTCAGAAATTGTTAAAGCTCTGCCTTTTCATCTCCAATCCTGTTTTCTTACTCATGTATTTTTTAGACATGTACTGATTATCTCTCAGTTTTAAAACTTATGTTATGGTTTGTGTGTGTGTGTGTGTGTGTGTGTGTGTGTGTGTGTGTGTGTGTGTGTGTATGTGTAGATACTTTTGGTAGTCAGTTCTCTCTTCCATGTGGGTCCTGGGGACCAAACCAGGTTACCAGTCTGGTGACAAATGCCTTTACCCATTGAGCCATCTTGTCCACTGTTGCATGTTTTAAAGAAATGTAAGACTCTGTTAGTCTTAAAGGGGAAGAGCTCATGGTTTCTGGGTCTCAATCCATGTCACTTGGCTCTCTATTTCTGGACGTGTGCTGAAGGTAGCTTATTGGGAAGTGAGTGGGTAGTGCCCCCTTCCTCGATAGACTTCCTCCAAGTAGGCCTATGTCCTTTCTTTCTGGCTCTGAGGCTGTGGATGGATTCACTCACCCAGGAAATTAGCTTCCCATGATCTAATCACCAGCTGGGACCCTTGGGGGCATAACTTCTGCTCAGCATCACTACCTGTGTAGGCTGCTGTGGTTCCCGTGTGTGTTACCCATATCACTATGGACTTTCCCAGATCTTCAAGGAGGGTTCTGGCAATTTCTCTTCTATTCCTTCGACTAACTTGAAGTGCATTTCTCCTTCAAGAGGTCTGAAAATGCAAATAAACACTTTATATGACAATGTAATAATCTAGACATTAATTTTAAAAGATACATAGAGGGGGCTAGAGAGATGGTTCAGCAGTTAAGAGCATTTGCTAATTTGCAGAGGACCCAGTCCTGTTCCTAGCACCCACATGGTGTCTCCTAACCATCCCTAGGGGTCTCATGCTCTCTTCTGAACCCCACAAGCACCAGGCTCGCACGTGATACAATACATACATGCAAGCAAAGCACTCATGCACATCAACTAAAAGAAATAAATCTAGAAAATGTAAATATATGTGGAAAACCATCCTGAGCTAGGTACAGGAAGATGCACAGAAATACAGACATAAATATCAGAATGTAAGTCAACGGCTAGAGAAAACCCAGAAGGCACAACTGCCCTGGAATTGCTGTTCTTACGCTGAACTATATAGGCCTGGTTTGTTTTTGTTCCTCTGCTTTGATGTAGTTTATCGTCGGACTCCAAGCTCCTGTAAGTCTGGAACACCCAGTAGCACTGCTCTTTGTGTCTCACAGAGTTCCTCAGTTGCCGCAGAGAGCAAGGCAAGTACTACGACCACCTCCTGGGCGTCTGTGTCAGGTGTGACGCCACCTGCACACAGCACCCTCAGCAGTGTGCACAGTTCTGTGAGAAAAAGGCCCGAAGCCAGGTGAACCTGCAGCCCGAGCTCAGGAGACCACAGGCTGAGGAGGTGGAAGCCAGGCCAGGCAATTCAGGAAGGCACCAGGGAGCAGAGCATGGAGGCTTGCAGGCAGCTTCAGGTAAGCGACCAGAGGTCAGCACCTACGGTATCTGAGGACTCGGATGGTCGGGAGGCAGACTGCAATAACAATTGTCTTTGGTTCAAGAGGTCCAGACTCTAGGCAGATAGCCAGAAGCCAGGGAGGTCACTCCAGGGTAGAAAAGCTATTATAGACGAACATTTCAGAAGTCTATGGGACATTTGGACAAGCATGCATGGTATATGCTGCTCATATCTGAGGGCTCAAACACTGAACCAAGCCTTTGTAGTGAAAATATTCCAAATCTGTGCTGGGGCTGAACCCCATCCTCACAGTGCTAGTCAAATGAAGCCATGCACACATTCCTCTGATACTCAATGCATTGGCAGCCTCTCAGGGTTGTCCCTTTCTGCGTAGCCTCTCTGAGCCTCTCATTGTATGGGATCAAACAGAACAGAGTTGAAGAGAGTGATTCCACAGGGCTGGTGGAGGTGACAAACTTTTTTGGTAAACAAAAGAATTAAACAATCAGAGGGAAATGAAAGAACGAAAACTCAGATTGACCTCGATGGCGAAAGTTGACATTTATTGGTCTGAGAGGTGGTGCCCCCAAGAACAGCAATTGAACTTGCAGAGGAATGCAAATTACGTGGTTTGGGGGATGGGATAGCTAAGGGTACAGAAGGAAGAGGGGCGGGTCTTGTCAGGGTCAGAATGAGGAAGTGAACTGCTTTTCTACATAAGCTGTCTCTCAGAATGGCAGGATGAGAGACAGGTCGGCTGCTTTTCTCTGACTCCCCGGGGGATTAGCTGCTTTCTGGGAATTCCATGATGGCAGACTTCCTGGGACCTTCAGCTTGTTCAGGGCACCAGTCTTTCGAGAGGGGCAAGGAGGGAAATTTCCTTTAATCTAGACCTTTTACTCACAAGGGATAGGGTGCCATTTTCTATCTGCCAACTTTCTGATGGGGGGAGCATCATCCTGGGGTTCTCAAGTCTGGAGTGACTAGAAAAGGCATTTTCTTTACTTCACCTTGAGTGGTGGACCAGGGGAAGCAATGATGCAGTCTAGGAGAAGCTGGAGAAACTGTTGAAAAGACAGGATAAACTGTAAGTATGGGGATGTTAAGGAGGAAGGAGTGAGTGAGGAGGAGCCAGGATGGGCAGGAGCCAGGAGCCCACCCAGAGGAGGCTTGTTCCTAAGTTTTCTGTGCCTGGTCTTGTACCAGTTTTGATCTGTTGGTGTATTGCAGCATTGTTCCTGGACGAGGGCCTGAAGGGTGTGGAGCTGGTCTGGAACTGCAGGCTGTCTGTGAGCGGCTGAGACAGGGAGGTTGACTGATGGATGTTAGAACCCCCAGCTCCTGTTCTCCTTTATCGTCCTGGAAGAAAGCCCAGAGAGGCAAGAAGAGGGATGAGTTGGATGGTCCACTTTGCTCTTGTTGATGTCTGTGTAGAGCTAGGGATTAGAGCCTAATGGGGGATTAGGGAGATGGCGGAGACAAAAGGCCAGCACACAGAGACATTTGTCCTGCAACCCCAAAAGAGACATGCTTTATAGGAAAGACAGGGAGTGGTGTTGAAAATGGTTGTCTGGTGTAGCATTCCCTCTGCAGGGTGCTTTGAGGTCTGTCAGGTGTGTCACATGGAGGAGTGTCCCAGGGACACAGCAGTGAAAGGCTGCAGGCTGGTTATGAAGGACGGGCTTATTTTAATTAGTTCATTTTGAGCTAGGCAAAGATATTGGTATTGCGGGAACACTGGTAAGGTGAGGGTGTTCTAGGAGCCCACAGGCCACCCCAGGGATAGGTTTGAATGGGGATGGGTGATTAAGGATTTGAAAGGATTTTCCTAGAATAGGGGAGGCAGGTTTTCCTCCTGTCCCCAGCAGTTTTAGGAGCCAGAGGAGGATTCAGACAGATGGAAAGTGGTGGATAGTGCCAGGAGGGCCATCTGTAAGGAAGCAATCCCGATTCTGATAGTCTGGGTTCAGAGAGCTACTCCTGGTTCGGATAGTCCCCGATCAGATGGTTTTGTGGATCAGGGGAGGTGAGGGTGGGGTTGCACTGGTGAGGTTGGAGGGAACCGACAGGAATGGACTCAGGAGGTGGGGTCTACCAACACATAGGGGGGCCCTGTGAAGTGGACTTATTTCTGACTGGTAAGATGCCTTGAGATGCTGGTGAGCAGTGAATTTCCCAAGGTCTTGCTAAAAGATGAGAGGTACAGCCCCTTTAGGAAATCCCTCCTTACTATTTCAAGGGTCCTCCCAGTAGCTTTATAGGTGAAGTGAAAGCTGAGGTCGAAGAGTAGGGTAGGAAATGCTTGATTAGTAGTTAGAGAATGATGGAGACACACCCAAAAGAGGCACAGAGGGAAACCTTCTATAAAGTAGAGGGGACTTGGGAGCCCCCCAAATCCAGTCTCTCCTCAAAAACTAGGTTTTGATTTTAAATCTTTGAAGGGTATTTTTCCTCCTAATTTTGGGTGGTCAGTTTTGTTTGTTGTTTTCATTTTGTTTTTGAGGCAGTGTACTTCTATGTAGTCCAGGCTGTTCTAGAACTTGCTGTGTAGACAAGCACACCTCAAACTTGAAGAAATCTACTTGCTTCTGCTTCCTGAGTGCTGGGATTGCAAGTGTGTGCCACCATGGCCAGCAAGGGTTGGCTAGACAGATTTGAACAAGGACAGGATAGCTGATTGGCTCATAACTGTGGCCTCTCAGTCTGGCTTTGAACTCATCTCACAGGGTCAGTCCATTAGCAGGGGCCCCACTGAGAAAAGCCATCAAGCCTTTGTTTTATGCCAGCAGGCTTTTGCCTCAGGTAAGGAAGAAGCAGACAACTTGGAAGTTCACCATAGCTACTACACAGCCATGCCCCCCATCTATCTGTCTGCCCCCACAGGGGTCTGTCTAACTCTAGTTCTCATTCTGTAATGTCTCATGGATGATACATGAGTATACTGAATAATTTCCCCAAACCTGTCAGTGTGAGGTGTAAAATGTCCAGTATAGGCTGGTCAGTCCACAGAGATGGAGGGCAGATAACGTCACTCTGGGGATCAGGTGAGAGAAAACGGGTAGGGACCATTAATGGGACAGGAAGTTTTTCATTGGAGATAGAATAGTCTCAAATTAGGGGGTGGAGATGGTTGTACAACTTCATGAACATGTTTTAAAAAAACATTCAAAATTCACTAAGTGGTGAATGTGATAATTTACAAATTACATCCTGGTTTTTAAAGCAAAGGTACTGAGCCGGGCGGTGGTGGCGCATGCCTTTAATCCCAACACTCGGGAGGCAGAGGCAGGTGGATCTCTGTAAATTCAAGGCCAGCCTGGTTTACCAAGTGAGTTCCAGGACAGCCTCCAAAACAATACAGAGAAACCCTGTCTTGAAAAAAAAAAACCAAAACAAACAAACAAACAAAACAAGGTACTGAGCCTCCTTTATCTTCCACCTCCAACCCCAATCATGGAACAGGAGAATTAAGGAAATCCAGTTCAAAAAGCACCTGGCACCCAGAACAAACTGAGCTATTGCCATGTTATTATGTTTTATCAGTGTGAAAACACTCCAAGTTCTTAAGAAATCAATAAAGGAAAAACTGAATAATAGCATGCAGCTAGATCTGGCTAATCCACAAAAGGGAACCAGCCCTGAACAGATATCCCCTCACAGCCCAAGTTACACTTTGAGCAATTATCCATTGTTCTGCAGAGACAGAATTCCAAGGTGTGATTGTTTGGACAGATAAGGAGATTTACAGTGTAAAGGATTGTCATAGTTATCTTAGGCAGACCAGCCCTGCTTTTCCCAGGCAGTTGTTAACTGGGGTCCTGCTGCCTGTGGGCAGAATTCTGCTCGTCCTGATTAAAGGCACAGGGATGAGTTAGCATTGTCAGCCAGGGCTGATGTCTACACTGCCTGACAGCAGCTGTGCTCTGTTGTTAAACTTTACTTTTGTGCAACTTAGTGTTTTCTGAGCAAGTTTATTGGTGAGTCCTTTCTAAGGTTATTACTGCCCCGCCCTCCTTCGGGGAGTGGTCCCTCCACGGCGCTAGCACAGAGTGTGCCCAGGCCCTGCACTGCAGGACACAGGGGAAGTTTGGGAGGAACAATGCCAGGAGCAGAGCTTTGGCCGGAACTGGAGAGTCTCCTGTGCCCCACTTCCTGAGTCCTTCTGCTTCACACCTGGACCGACTCCTCAGTCGTCTCCCTGCTCTTGATTTCAAGTCCAAGCTCCCCTGAAGCCAGGAGGAGCCATCCTCCTTGGACTGTCATCCTTGCACACCAGCATGCACACATCCATCGCTGGGCCTGTCCACCTCCAAAGCATGAGGGAGAAGACAGGATGGGCCAGGGCCGGGCGGTCAGCTTCATGGTCCTGGAAAAATGCGCCATCAGTTTGGGGTAGAAGGGGCCAATTCCCTCAGGACTCAGAAAGCAGAGCAGTGATATCTTGGGGCCAGAAAAGGAATTCCCTGTCCTCGCCAGCAAGGTAGGCGTGGGGATGACCATGTGGACTGCTTGGACCTGTTGAGGTCAAAAGAAAGCCGGTGGTAGGGAGGGCACTTAGTCCTGGAATGCGGGAGGGTATGGGTAGCGAGGAGGGAAAACCGGGGAGTGGGTGTGCCCCTTGAACTCGTGCTCTTGTCTGTCTTGAAGCATCCACCGGACTGAGGCTGAGCAGCGACCAACTGGCCCTCGTCTACTGCACCCTCGGGCTCTGCCTCTGTGCCATATTCTGCTGTTTTTTGGTGGCCTTGGCCTGCTTCCTCCGGCGTAAAGAGCCGCTTCCCAGCCAGTGTTCAGGGCCGCGTGGGTCACAGGCAAAGTCTCCCCACCGTAAGTACAGAAAGCCCGGCCTCCTTGCCTGACAAGCACCGGCAATCTCCCCTTCCCTGTCCGCCACTACCCCTACGAGCCCTGACGCATCCCAGAGAAATTAGGCTCGAGCAGCAGGGCCAGGACAAAGGGTGGGTGTCAGGTTGCTGGCTTTGCCAGAAGATCCAGAAGGAGGGTCATCTGGGGGTGGGGCAAGATGGTTGGGAGGCAGGTTCAGGGAGAAGTGAGCCCAGCCTTGACAGACTGCTCAGGAACACACAGGAGGACGAGTCCTAGGGTGGCTGTAGAAGCTCTGGGCTCCCATGGCACCCTCTTCCGTCCCATCAGGTCCTGAGATGGAAGCTCGCAGCGAGATAGCCTTGCCACCCCAGCCTGTCGAGACATGTAGCTTCTGCTTCCCGGAGCGCAGGTCGCCCACACAGGAGAGTACTCGCACGCTCGGGATTCTCGGCTTAGCGGGGACCGCAGCCCCGCAGCCTTGTGCGCGCGCATCAATTGGCGGCCTGGGCGTAGTGCGCGTGCCCATCGGGGACGCGGGTCCCGGAGCTTGACAGTCAGAAAAGGAGGCAATTAAAAGGATGGAGTGCGAGAGGAGGGGAGGAATGGAGAAGAGACGCGAAGAAGAAGACACGCGAGAGGCAGCCTGACTGCACCCATCCACAATGAAGCAACCACCCGCAGCGCCCACATTCCCCAGAGACATCTGTGCCATTGTGTCCCATACTTTAGGCAGACTAGTCAACCTGTGTGCTCCTCTTGAGTGGAGAAAGATGGAGAATGGTCGGCACCTGGAGCACTGTTCTCATAGTTGTTACAAACAAGTGCTCTTCCCTAGGGCCTTCGGCAGATAGTTGAGTGGAGTGCGTGTTTGTGAATTAAGTAATTTACATGTGTGTGCAGGTGCTGGGTTGTGTCGTGTGCCTGTGTACATGGATTGTGTGTCTGTATGAATCGTGTGTACATGTGCACTGTACGTACATGTGTGAATTTGGTGCATGCAGGTATATGTTTTCACATGTGTGTGCAGCCAATGTGATGTAGCCAGGAAGGTGAGGGCCTCCAGGTGAAGGCCAAAAGTCTAAAAAAAAAAAAAGAGTGTTTCCTGAACCTCAACATGAGTATGTTCAAGTTGCATCCATTTTTAATGAGCACCTATATGTATCATTTTAGTTGCATTTAAACCTCCAGGTGCACAAAAATATCCTCAGAAGCGTTTTCCCAGTAAGCTTAAGTATGAAATGGTACACAGTGAAATTTCATACTTCCTACACCAGTGCTTGGCAGACCTACCCATCCCAAAAGCCACACAGCAAGTGCCCTGTTCTCACCATCCATAGCTAGTAGGCTGCACAGAGATAATGTTGCTATTCACAGTATAAGACGGATGACAGCTCTGGTAACACAAAGTCCACAGAGAAGAACCCTGCAGTCAAGAGGTCCGCAGAATAGGATCTTCCTGAGGCTGCACATGCCTGACGTTACACATGGCAAGGTCTGTCTTTGGCTTCTCCTTACCCCGATGTGGCCTTTCTGTCATTCTACATTCTGCCCTCCCCCCCCTCCCTTCCTTTCTCTCTGGGTTTATTCTCCCTTTTAGATTTCTTGTTATGATCCACCTAATGGCTTCATTTTGACCTCTGTGTAAAAACTCCATCTCCAAGTAAGGCCACATTGGAAGCACTAAGGGTTAGGATTTCAACATAATGAGTTTTGGGGGACAAATTCAACCCATGACAGAGGCTCTGTGAGACCACCACTGCTTTATCTTTGTTAACAAGATAGCATCTAACAAGCTCTTGTCCAAGATGTGTCTTACCAAGTATTGAAGCAGCCTACTCATTACGGTGCCCACCAAGATCAACGCCCTACAACAGGGTTGCTAGGAAGTCCCTGGTCCCTGCTACAGACCCATGCTGGCTGTGTGCTGGCTTTGAATGCCAGATGTTTCTGGAACTGGAGGTGGGAGAGGAGAAATGTCAAGACCCAGTGCTGAGCGCCCAGCCTCAGTGTCAGTCAAAGACACTCTCGAGAGTGCTCAGCTTTCCAGTGGATCCTCTGTAAATTTTCTTCCTTTCTCCTTGTGAAGAAAGGGCTCTTTTGCCACTTTTATCTGTTGTGTTGGGTCAGCCTGAAGAACACAGCCCGATTCCACTTGCACTGTCCCCTTAAAAACTTTATTACTATATAGTAATTGAATAAAACTGATTTTGCTGCAGCTTTTACAAACCTGTATACAACGGGCTTTGGTAGTCCTCCCCTCCCCCATAATTCTCTCATCTCCTTCCACTGGTATCTTCTCTACACAATGTCTTTAAAAAATATCTAGATTTCATAAATGTGAGAAAACCTGGCATTTGTCTTACTTAATCAAATTTTCCTTAACACGATTTCTCATTGCAAACATTTTCTTAAAGATGATAAAAATTTTATGCCAAGATGATAAAATTTTATTCTTCATTCACAGTCTTCTTCATTTCCTGATTTCCTTACCTGGAATTCTGGGCCAGCCTCCCTCAGTCTCTTTGATGATACCTTTCTCCCAACCATTGATCAGTGTTTCTGTAAAAGACCAGGTGTGGCCAGACAGGGATGTACACCATGTGGTCTTCTTTGGCTGTACTGTAGGGTAAAAAGGACCAGTGAAAGAATATTCTGGCCCTGAGACCAGGGCCGAGGAAACACACCCTGCCTCTAACAAACTCAGGACTTGAAATCCAACCAATCTCGGAGCTTGTCTCAAGCTCAGACTTCGGGCACCTAGCAAATCCCCACCCTGAAAATCTTTACAATGGAAAGCTCTGCCTCTAAGAAACCCTACATAAGCTGGGTGTGGTGGCGCACACCTTTAATCCTAGCATATAGGAGGCAGAGGCTGGCAGATCTCTGTGAGTTCAAGGCCAGCCTGGTCTACAGAGTGAATTCTAGGACAGCCGGAGCTGTTACACAGAGAAACCCTGTCTTGAAAAATAGAACCCCTCTATAAGCCCTGTGCCTGTTCACTTTGTGGCTGCCTTTTTCTACCCTGGCAGAGGCAGTCACTCTCCTGGGTTCCTCCCTCCCATAAAACCTGAGTGAGGCTTGTTATGCAGTATAACTTTGTGGTATTCCCTGGGGAGGAAGGGGGAGGGGGAGGGAGCTGAGCAGAGACAGAACACTTTGAGCAAAGTGGAACAAAGGTATAACAGTTTTACAGGGGAAATCCTCTCCTGCTGGAGCAGAGTTGTTACACTTGCATTAGGGAAACCTTTCCCCAGGCACAGAACTGTAACACTTTGCTGGGGAAACCATCCCTCACCCCCCAGAACAGAGCTCTAACACTTCCGTTGGGATACCTCTCCCTTCAGAGCTGAAGGTATTCCTTTGCTTCCCACAGCCAGGACAGCTTTCTATCAGACTGTAACACACGCACAGCAACTGCAGATCCCTGGCCTTGCTCCTCTATAATACATGTTTCTTTGTCTTACCCTCCCCCCCCACGTGCCTCCAGGGATCTCAATGTGATGTTTAAGGGTTTCTTGTTTTAATTTATTCTGCTTCAGCTTCTTTTAAGATTATTATGTTTCTCTCTCCTGTATCTTCTAGTTCTGGGCTGTCTTTGTGGCTCATTTTGGATCATTCCCACCACACCTCAAATTCTGTTTCATTCGTCACCTGCTGAGTCTTCTCTTCAGGGCGTCAAGGGCAGACTCTTGGTTTCTTCTCGACTCTTCTCTTCTGCTACAATCCCCACCTACTCACGCATGCTGTCCACCCATCTGCTTCTGCCCAGTTGTCTCTTGGCCCTGGGTTTTTCATTTGCTCTTTGGCATTGTGCCACTTCTGACTGAGTGCCAGACATGTACAGAAGACTGGAGAAGTACTTATGCCTTCATTTCTGTTGACCCACCAGCAAGAGGTGGAGCCAATCTAGTTATGAATTGAGGTGGGTCTGGGTTGTCGCCCTGTCTACCCCGCTGGCTTCACGTTCCTTTAGCGCTGCAGGCTCTTGATGGCTACTGAGTTCAGTATGTCCTTGTTCTGCCTAGGCTGTGTTTTTTTTTTTCCCCTGGGGCTCTGCTACATGGAGGGCTGTGGGCACTTTTAGGTTTCAGGAGATGACTGTCACCATCGGAATGGGATGAGACTGTCTACTGCCTTGCTGCTCTCTCAGGCTGAGGCAATCCAGGTGCTCTCAGACCCAGGACAGAGAAGTCTTCCTTGACACCTCGGCAGCTCTCCTCCAACATGGGTAGCCTCGACACTCAGGTCAATCAGTTCACTGCCTTTTGAGTCTGTTGAACTTTGTGCATTTTCTGCTCTCCCTGACCTAAGGCCTGTGGCTGAGGACCTCTCTGTGCCCAGCATGTGAAGGGTGGTATCTGGAGAACCTGTGGTGGGTGTGAGCTACCTTTGTGTTTGGATGAGGTTGCCCCTCCCCACAAGGCTTTAGTGACCAGACAGTCATCATGGGGATGCAATTATGCTCTGACTGGTGTGCAGGGGGGGGGGGGGAGGTGATGTCATTTAGGTGGTGACAGAGCAGAGCCTAATGACTAAATCCTGGTGGCTTTGTAAGAGGGACCAGGAGAGGAAAGTGCTCCACCTATGCAGACTCTCCATGCTGCCTTGAACTCTGGGACCTTTTTCTTTATGGCAGGCCTGTTAGTGGTGCTACTGCCAGCTGAGAATGGGTCCGTGTACCTTGTTTGCAGTTCCCACTCAAATGATCCACATGTAACCATCCCCTTGTACTTTCTAGCCTCCGGAACCACGAGGAAGTAAACCTGTGTTCCTTCTAAGCATCCCACAACATCCCATAGCAACAGAAATGTGCTGGCACTTTCCTGGCTCTGGACCATCAAATCTGCCCATGGTTTACTGCACTTCTATTGGAAGTCAGCTGAGGAAAGAGCTGAGACTTTGTAGTCATTCTAGAACCTGCCTCTTCATTTTACAGATGAGAGACTAGAAGTCAGAGACAGTCACTAGCTAGCATAGGACAGACACACTGCCAAGCCCACTGGAGTCCTGACTGTAGTCCGGTCTCCTGATAAATGCTTGCCTGTCATCAACTCTTCGTGGGAGACAGAATTGGGGAGGGCGTTATGTGGGGCTTCAATCAACACTGGCCTTCACATTTACTGCCTGAGGAACATGGCGAATAGTTAGTTACTTTCAGGTGGGTAGAAAAAGCAGCTTGCTCCCTGGTTGGCAGGGGAACATGTGGCCTCAGGAGGGACCAGGGTCCTTTCTGTAGACTGGTTTAGGCTGGTGCTTCAAGCTTAATATTGTTAAAAAGGACTCCCACACCCCCGTTTCAAGGACCTGGAATTCAGGGACCAAAGACACATTCCTTTGTTGCAGGGGGACTGCCTGCTTAAGCTCACAGTTAAATGAAGGAAGTCCCCTAGTTTAGGCCAAGCCTCTTTCTTTCTTTCTTTCCTTTTTTTTTTTTTTTTTTTTTTTTGGTTTTTACGAGACAGGGTTTCTCTGTATTGTTTTGGAGGCTATCGGTCCAGCCCGGCCTCGAACTCCGCCTGCCTCTGCCTACCGAGTGCTGGGATTAAAGGCGTGGGCCACCACCGCCCGGCGCCAAGCCTCTTTTCTGGGACATCCTTCTCCTTCACTCAGGGCTGGGCCAAGCCAGGGTGTGCAGTCCCAGCTCTGTGGCTCATGCAGTCCGATCCTGTTCCAGAGCCCAAGAAGCTGGGTGCAGTCTGTCTCCTACCTGTGACTCAGTGGGACTGGATCATCCCATCATCAAACAAGCAATGTGAGCACTCAGCCCTAAGGTCACCATCTGCAGCGGCTCAGACACAGCCTTAAGACACGAGCTCTGGTCCACCCAGAAGACTGGGAGCTGCTCAAGCAGGTGGCGTCTTTTGCACATTAACACTGCCCTCCTGGAGTGACCAGGTGCCCAAGGAGGGAGAAGCTGTTTCCACGATGAGATGCTCCTGGGAATGGAGGCATGAGCCCCACCTCTCCCATCGTTTTGTCTGGGGGAATCTGTGACCTGAGTTCTCACGATGGGGTGTATTGGGATCCCACAGTAAATGAAACAGCACTATGTACTAGAAGCTGCACCTTCATACACCACCACCCTGCGACTCTGCACCAGGCTGACAGAGGATGGTGGCAATGGCTTCTGCTCTCATCACATCACCTGCTAGCTGGACTCAGAACTTAGGACGTCTACAGCGGGCTTCATACTGTAACTAGAAACCATGATGTAATGCTGGTGTCTCAAAGTCAGTGAGTGCAGCGTTGGGTTGAGAACTCAGGTGATTATGAAACTTGCTCAATATCAGGCTTAGAAACTAACTCAGACTTGTTATTTCTCTTATCCTAGAAAATCCGAAGTGTTTTGTTTAAATGGGCTTTCACATCACACATCTCATTCCCATTTATCTCCAAGTCCTTCGCATGCACCCTTTAAATGGGCTTTAACCATGTGTATTTTATGTTCACTGGTGTTTTGCCTGCCTGTGTGTTTGAGTGAGGGTGTCAGAAGCCCTGGAAGTGGGAGTTACAGACAGTTGTGAGCTACCATATGGGTGCTGAGAATTGAACTCAGGTGCTCTGGAAGAGCAGCTAGTACTCTAACTGCGGAGCCATCTCTCCAGGCCCCCTCCTTTGGGGGAAGAGACTGAACCCACAATGTTATACATGCTAATGTCATGTACTTGCATTGTCTACCTCAAAGCTAAAACCACACCCTTTTGAGTGTTAATCTGAATGTCTTAAACTCTGAGGGTGGAGAAAGTTTCCAGCTGTGGTACCTAGAAGTTGTCCCATTAAATCTGATGGGACTGCCACAAAATGAGGCCAAGGATCAACTCTGGACTCCATGGGACTTATTTCTCAGAACCAATTTGAGAAAAGGACATCCAAAAGAAAAGCGCCAGAATTTCAGATCTCACTGGCTTCTGAGACAAGGTTCTGCTCCAAGCAGGTGAGCTCTGCCCATGAAGCTGGGAGTGAGGTAAAGGCATCAGTCTCTATTACATGCTCTGCTTGGGCACCAGCCATAGGCTTGCCCATCTCGCTGATCCTCCTCCCCATAGGACACCAGTGTTTGTTTTTGTGTATTGAGCCAAGGTCTTGCTGTGTAACCCTGGCTGACCTGGAATGTACAATGCAAACCAGGCAGAGATCTGTCTGCCCTCTCAAGAGCAAGGATTAAACTGTGGTCTCTACAGTGCCTGGCAGGAAGGTGGAGCACAGGACATCTCTACCCAGACAACCCCTGGCTAGCCCTCCCTACCACGTTGGCTTGCTGTTACCTACCTTGTGGCTGCCTGTTTTAGTAATGGGGTCAACAGTCAATTTCTGAATAAAATGCAGCTTTATTAGGATATAGGAAAGACTAAAAGCCACCAGGGAGGAGACAGTCAAATCCCTCAAAATGACAGGGGAGCAGTGACATAAATGTCTTGGTAATAAAACTTCTAACCATAGTACAATCATTGGATTTTTTTCCCCTCACAATTTTTGATTTCAAAGCTATAATAAATGAAACAAGCCACTTGTCAAAAAGAACAATGATTTTACACAAGGAAAGCATACATATCAAGCCAAACACAACAGCACTCAGGTTCACATGGTGTAGGATGCTCAGAGGCCAGTCAGTGCCCAGCGTGGGGGGCTCCTGGGATGAAAAGAGGAATCAGATCCCTTCCTACCTCCTGAATTGAAGACATCTGAGGAGCTCTAGTTTGATCTCCTGTGAGGCTGGTACCAGTGGTGTATGGGAAGAGGTCTGCTCCCTGCTCTAGACTGGGGCTGGGCAATGCAGCCCTGTGGGAGAAGACACTTCATGACCATCTGAGCACTGATACTGGACAGTCCTTGGATGGGAAACCCTTTTTCTGCCTTGCTATCCAAAGAGATAACTGGAAGAACTTCCCAATCCCACTGCTCAAATCTGCTCTTCGGTTGTTTATACATGCCTATCTAGCTGAGACATCATGCTGATGGCCCTAGGACACCGAGGCAGGGCCAGACAGATGTGTGGCAGTCATGGAGTTGGTTGGCCTCCTTGCCGTAGGCAGAGCGAAGTGTTTAGAATGCGAAGCCCACAGTAACGAAGGGAATGCTGCATTTGGATATAAAACGTTAACGTCTCTCTGACAGAAAACAGGTGCTGTCCTCCTCAGTGACCCAAATTCAGGTAGAGATGCGCTGTGTGCTGTGGGGAGAGGAAGCAGGCCTGGCCAGCATACCTGCTCATTCCCCTGCTTCTGGATGCCCTATCTACCAGAGTGACAAGGAGGCAGGCCTTCAGGAGATGTTTTGGGCTCTGGTTCCCCTAGGCCAACTGCAGTGAAGTCTTTCCTCTGGGTGTTCACAAGAAGAATATGACTCCTCAAAGGCAGCTACACAGCTGAGCCCCACAAACACCGGTCCATGCCTGAGAGTCTGGGCTCACCCATGCTTCTCAAAAAAGGCTTCTTCTAAACATGCTTCAAGTTTGTTCTTTACTTTAAATGCAGAAATAGGAACACGAGAGACGAGAACATGGCAAGTGTATATACTACACAGGAAGCTTTAGCTGCCCCTGACGGGATTCCGGTGATCCTTACATGACTCAACAACAGCCACTTAGTGTTGCCACAGCTACCTCTCATCACATCACAACTAGCTGAGGAGCTGGGATGGAACCTGCCTTGCTTTTTTGTAGCCTGTCAGTGAAGAAAAGTCTTTAAAAAAATTCTGTACACATAATCCTGTGTAATTCAAATTTAGGGTGTGTAAATAAGACAATCAGAACACAGCTGTACTTGCTATGCACGAATGATGCACATGATACCTGCTGTAGACCTGCTCAGAGCCTGACTCTTGGGAAACACTTGCTGGTCCTGAAACTCCTGGGGTGATGTGCCAATAGGCTCCTGGGCAAGCACCACTGAAAAGGCAGTGGCACAAAGAGAAAACACGAAGACCCTAGATTTTAATTTCTTAGAAAAAGACAACCTAAGTCTTGTCCAAAGACACATGCAAAATATCTTACAAGAAACTTCATGATTGACCCTGTCAGCAGAACTGGTCACTAAGCTGTAAAATTGAAACTATAGCGAACACAGAGCAGAGGCAAGTGGGCGACACAATACAATGCAGTCTCCATCAGGACCACTCAGCTTCAAATCTCACACAGCCACTGAACCACCTGGACAGGCAAAAGAACCAACGACCAAGAAGAAACACGGGAAGATTGGTTCAATGGAACCGCCAAGGAACATTCCATCTACTGCAAAGATCAAGATAACAGAGACCCCATTCTCCACTGCCTGGCCACCAGCTAGCTGTGTGGAGGAAGGCAGGGCACAGGTCAAGGAAACAACACTGATCAAAAAGCAAGACACTCTGCTCTCAGAAGGAAAGAGGATTACCTACATTTCCATATAAACTTGATAATCATTCACTTTTCTACTATCACATTTATGAAATTCACTGTCATGGAGAAAGAGCAAGGGGTAGAGGTCTCTGGGCTGATGTTTCCTCATGCAGTTGATGCTAAGTTATCTGTAGCACAGATGTTTTTAGCCTGCAGGTGACCTCAACCTAGGCCTAGGGTTATTCTACAACTTTAGAAAGAACAGGCACTCCCTGCCCTTAATGCCACTTACATAGAGGGCTGCTGCAAGCACTCAGTCCTCTGGCATCATCTCTGCCTACGCTACAGCTTTCATGGGCTCATTTTCAACAACACGGGTGCTTTCTAAACCCATGTGGGATGAAGGTGAAGCACCAGGCAGAGGCTGGTCTGCTCTGAGGACATCACCCTCAGCATATTACAAGGTTGACAAGAGGTGGTCCACTAACTCCTGTCCACTAAGGGCACACTCCACTCAGTCTTACAGCTCACGCCCACCCTGACACTTCCTAGTGCAGAGGGGCCATGTGTGAGGCACATCTGCACAGGAGGGAGGGACACCATGGTGTTCTGATGTGGGGAGAACAGGGATCATGTCAGGAAGCTTGCCAACTTGTTCTTTTTTCATTTTCCTGGCCAGCAGGGCAGGAGGCTACTCATATTCCAGGAACTGTTTGTGGTAGAAGAGTAGGTACCTGCGGAGGTAAAGGGAAAAGTGGACTTAGTCCTAACTTCCAAAATAGCTATGCTAGTCAAGAACGGTTCTCAAGCCTGACTTCTTGAGTGGATACTATAGCACCTCAAGTCTTCAAGAAACAGAGACACTTCTGGCCCCCATCACCCAACTTTCTGGCCCCCATCACCCAACTTGACTTGGTGACCCCTGTAGTTATCACCTCTCCTGTCCACAGTGGGGCTACCCTCATGCAGGGTCCACATCTCCCTCAACCCCAACCCCTGCCCAGTTAGTAGCAGACTCTTTCTCCCTGAGTTCTCTCCAGGGGGCTCCCAGGGCCCAGAGCCTCACATACACCATGTGCATCTGTGGCAGGTTCTGTCTTGACCTTGGGGGTTGGGAACCCTAAGGATCTGAGGAGGCTCAGGGTGAATGACGACCCTCAGGGTGAATGTCACCATGAGTAACAAAAGCAGCAGAGAAGCTGATCAGAATGCTGCACAGCACCGTTAGGACAAATGCTGACCACAATGTTCTTTGATCCAGAGGAGCACAGTCAGCAACTCTGTTCAGCAACACTACACTCCCACCCTGTAATCACAACCTACAGGTGACATCTGATCCAAGGAGCTACTGTCCTTTCAGCAACAAAGCCAAACTAAGCTGAGGTGAGTATCCGTTGTGGCAGATGCAGCCTAGCCTGTGGCTTTGGTCAGACAGGAGATGGACAAGCACCAGCACAGCCCCTCCAAACCCCACTCCCCACCCCTGAGACATACCCTTCACTGTCCAGCACATCCTTGATGCTGGCCTTGGTGATGATGGCATCATCACACTTGAACCACTGGTCTTTGTGCTGCCGAATGAAGCTGGTGTAGTGGCCACTCTCCAAGGTCCCTTGATGGTTAACGACAGCAAACAGGGAGTACCTGATGTGGAAGGAGACAGCATTTGAATTATGGTCAGTTGAACTGGTCTAAAGCAGTTTGTTGACTGCAGAGTGGAGAGAGCCAGGTCTACACCACTCAGCTCCGGCCCAGCAAAGAGAATTCTAGAGCCGCACTGAAGAGGTGACAGCAGTGGCAATCCACAGTGGCAGTAAATGCTTTACTTGTGCCTTCTGCCTGTGCTACCAACAGCAAGAGGAAATACCAGAAGGAGCAAGTTCATTAGGCTGAGCTCTTAGGCAGACCCTCACACCAGAGGTCTCTAGAGTGGGGCTGCCACCAGGAAGGAGACTGTTCAGAAGGGAGACTGGAAGGAGGGAAGGACAGGTCAGCTGTCTGAGAAATGCCCACTCCCCCGGCCCCCAGGTCCTGCAACCGCACGTACTTGTTGTCATTGTTGAGACTGTCCAGGGGTTGCTGGTACTGCCCATTCATCCTGCTTTCTTTGCTGTAAGGCAAAAGCTGAATTACTAACTCACTAGAGAGACAGGCTCCAGTGACAGCATTAACTGATGCCAAGAGGTATACTTTATACACACCACTTTTCCTAGGCAGACTGGCCCACACAGTGGTGACAAATCCAGCTTGGACTGGAGATCCCTGACTTCCTACTGCTTCTGTGGCAGCACCCCACCTCACCCCAGACCCTGAAGCTACTTTCTGCCACAGGAGCTTCTGATACTGGCTTTGTGACGTTTTGCTTGTAATACACCAAATAAAGAATTCCTTCCAAAGGCTGTAAGTCAGCCCCATAATACATTCTTAAAGAGCACAAGGGACACCATGAAGTATCTCACTAGAAGCAGGTTGGGTAGAATGGGAGGAGGGGCTGTGCAGGGAATGCCACATTTCAAACTAGTTTATTTATCTACAGCCAAAGTTAAAGGACAGCGAGACCTTGGTATCAGCAACAATGTCACCCCATCCCTAGACATGTTAATATTTACTTCATTTTCCAAAGAGACAATTCTCATAGTCTCTGACATCATTTCAGCCAGTGACCTGTGAGCCCAGAAACACAGCCACAAGGAAGGACATCAATGACTAGTAATAGGAAGCCTGCTCAAGATAGCAGTGGGCTGAGGTGTGGTTCTGAAATGCACTGTCTGCATCTTGACCCTCAAAACTGCAAATGTGACCCATTAGAAAAGCTATGCAGATGTGATGAGTGTGATGAGAGATGTTGAAATGAGGCCTTTTAGAAAAGCTCTACCCCTAACCACAAGTACCTAGAAAGCGGGTGAGACACAGACTCAGGAAGGGCCTTGGGCTCAGGACAGTAACAGCCAGAAAAGGACCCAGAACCTCCAGGAGCTGGATGAGACACGAGGGAACCCTGTCAGGATCCTTCTCTACAAATTTCATATTTGTGTGCTTCTATTACTGTGAGAATAAATTTCTATTGTTTTAAGCTACTACATTTATAGATGGCAGCCACAGACAGCAAATAGATTAGCAATTGCTGTAGATTTTTGAGGGTTAAATTTTATGTGGTCTGTGGTACACAGAATTTTATCTCAAAGAAGAGAATCCATTGTTGCAATTCACCCTGTTTATCTGTATTTCAAAATCACCATCAACCAAAAAATGTCATGTGGTCTGCCTGTGACTTTATCGTGATGAACCGCTAAGTTTGAAAGTTGATAAATGACCAATGAAGGAGTCACAGTACAGATAGGTACCCAAGGTAAGACCAGGGTTAGTAATGAAGCTGGGCAGGTAAGGTCTATACAGCTGTAATATAGTTTGTCCAAAGCCTGGCACTTAGGTATCACCCAGATAACTTGTCACCCCACCTGGATGCACACAGGGGCACCAAACTTTACTACCTGGAGGCCATAAAGGGTGTCATGTCCAGTTCCAGGGGAAAAGACACATATGTGGTGATCTTCCGCCGCAGTTTGGCTGAGTGTTCAAATCTCTGTAGAGATGAAGGGGAGGGAGAACAAATGAGCAGACTGAGCAACAGCTGGGCTACCCAGCCTAGAGACTCCCAGCAAGGGGGCCCTTGAAGAGCTTCTACTTTACTCACTGATTTTCCTGAGAAAGTCCTGCTCAGGCTGACACAGAATCAGGACCCTCCTGACTCAGCCTCCAAATGCTGGGTTACAGTTGTGTACTACCAAACTCTCACTGACCTTTTTCATTTTTAAAGGGGCATTAAAATAAAATAGGAAACAGATCATACATAGCCTTTAAAGACTCAAATACTATCACTGGCTGCTCTACCATGGGGGCTCAGTGTGATTTCCAGCACCCACAGGGCAGCTCATAGAGGTCTATAACTCCAGTCCTAGAGGATCCACACCCTCTTGTGGTTTCTGTGGGCACCAGGTATGCTTGCAGTGCACAGACCTACATGCAGGCAAAACACGCATGCATGTAACAACGAAAGGACTCAAATTTCTACTATTTGACTTTTCCCACAAAGGGCCTGCTGGCCTCTGGGCTAGACCATAAAGCTCAGGTCCTTGTTTTCTGCGTCTTTTCTTCCCTCAGTCCTGGGGTGGAACTCAGAACCTTGTGCATTTTAGGTAAGAGCTCTAACACTGACTCACACCCCTAGCCTGGGTCTTGTTTTCAAGTGAAACAAAGTTACAACAGCTTGAGCACCTGAGTTTGAATCCCTGTACTCGCATAAAATACCAGCATTGGACGTAGGCACCGGTGACCCCAGCACTGTGGGAGGCACAGAAAGGAAGACCACTGGGCTTGCCAACCTCAGGCCTAAGTCCAGGTTCAGTGAGAAACCCTGTCTCCATGCATTAAGGTGGAGTATGAAGAGCAGGAATCTGATGACTCCGTTGGCCCATGTCCCCAAAGACACAAGTAGTAAAATCTAATTGCACCTTCTACAGTAGCTCCTTCCTGTCTTCACAAGGAGGTGCACACTCTTGTCAGTAGCCTTACTTCCTGCTTCTTGGGACTGGTGCATGCTGATAGGCTCTAACCTGAGATGGTGAGCTTGAGGCTTGCTGCAGGCTAACACTGGAAGCCCTATGGCTCTCTGAGAAACTCACTTTGAGATGGAAACAGGCCACAATGGGCAGCTTCTTCATGGTGAGCTGCTTTGTGGACTCTTGGTAGCTATGGCAACCGCTACACTTGATCTTGGCACTGCTTCCTAAGTGCTCTGGTCTGGTAAATCTACAAGACGTTAAAAAACAAAAACATTATTTAAAAAGAAGGTGGAAAGGTAAAAGACAGGGAGAAAAGGGAACAGGTTATTTTACCACCCAAAGTGCACACCAACAGTTAAAGCTGTTGTAAGTCACCACACAGACAGAAGAGCTTTGCCTTTCTCTTTTCCTGCTCTCTTAAGAGCGCAGTGCTCTCTCTCCCTCTACCCCTACCCACACATATAATTTTCTCATTATTATACATTCCAGCAACTCAACTTGCCTTAGAACAATAGAGCACACAGACACACAAAGCTACAAATGGTGACAGCAGCAGTTCAGAAGACCCAAATGGCTCAGTAAGCAAATGGCATCATCACCCACGGGCCACAGTCAGCAGTGGAATGGCATGATCTACCTCATACACAATTCTCTGAGCTGCCAGAGACCAAGACAGGTGGAAGAGTCAGCCCACAGGTGATGTGCTGTCAGACTCCACTCACGAACCTCCCCAAGAAATCTAGACAAAACTGAACTGCTTAGGTGAGACCTCGACAGGGTTGTTGTGTCAGATGAAGGTGTGTCAGGAGGGGCAGTGATGTTCCTGCCTACACCAGCTTCAGCAACCTGCTGTGACACACACACATCCACCCTCTGTTCTGTGGGTGTCATGACGGGGAAAGGGTGAAGGTACTGGGGATCACCATGTCACCTTATAGCAGCAGGATCATCTTCAAAGATCTGCTAATTTTATTTGTCTTTGTTCCCCCCCCCATTAATTTTTTTTTTTTTTTTTTTTTTTTGGTTTTTCGAGACAGGGTTTCTCTGTAGCTTTGAAGGCTATCCTGGAACTCACTTTGTAGACCAGCCTGGCCTCGAACTCAGAGATCCGCCTGCCTCTGCCTCCCGAGTGCAGGGATTAAAGGCGTGCGCCACCAACGCCTGGCCCCCCGTTAATTTTTAATGATTGAATTGTGTAGTAAAATGGAAGGGAAAAGTGGCATTCTGAACCAATACACAAGGATGTATCTCACCTTCGCAGGCAGTCTGTGAGAGTGGTGGTGCCTGATGCATGGCTCTCCCCGTTAACCACACTGCCCTCACTCCCTGGGCTCAAGGGCCAGAATGGGGTGGAAGAACCGGGCAGGTCTAAACTGATGTCCCAGAAGGGGTCTATGGTGGTGGAGACGCCGCTGCAGGGAGACAACACGTGAGAGCACATGAGAACTGGTGTGTCCTGTGGCCTGAGGCAGCCCCTAGATAGGTCAAACACTGCCTGCTCTGCCCACCTGGCCACCAAACGCTGAATTCAGGACAGAACAGGAGTGTCCTCAGTAATGACTATTTGGGGCTGGCAGAGTATAAAGCCTTGAGTTACAGACAGAGCTCACCATGCTGGGATCCAGCGGACAATACTTAGGAACTGCAGCAACAGTACTCAGAAACTAGGTGCCCCGAATAGGTGAAACCACCAAGAAACCCCATCCACAGTGTGCACAGGTCAAACTTGGGTAATCCCACAAACAAGGACTACTGCATTTAACAACGTTATTTGGGAACTGGAGGGTGGGATGAGAAACCTCCAACTACACTGACTCCTGCCAGGAGGTTACATCACAATATTAAATCAGGGAAACTCAGATTAGTAAATTGGGTCCAGATATGGACCGAAAGTCAAGGTTACCTCTTGCAAACAGAACATAGTAGTTATAGGCCAGGGAGAGAGGAATTTTACATTGCTCAAAGACAAGATCTCAAAGGAGATCTACGTCTGGAACACCATAGGAGCACCCTTAGATTCCTGCACCCCGATCTTGAACCCTGCCCAGAGTATAGGTGAGCACTGGGGGATGGTGACCAGGGCTTTCAAACCTAGGGATAGAGTAAGAACAGTATGCCTGGGTGAGCCAGTGGAACAAATACCAGGCACAGCAGGGTGGGTGGGGACTTCTCCAGGCGCTGCCAAAGGACCCTTTCTGCTTCTGGAGGGGAAGCACTCAGCAATGGCTACACCTGCAAAGAGCTGTGGCTTTACGTCAGCAAGAGGAAAAGGAGCATGGGAGACACTGATCTGCCATGTGAAGGGGCTATGTGCTTTGGTGCTTAGTCTTGAAGACTGTAAGGAAAGCAGAGAAACATCTATGAAGCTGCGGAGGACACACTGCTAATTGCCAGAAGAGCAAAACTCTAGAAGTCCCCAAGCGAAAGCTCCCAGCCTTCAGATTCAGGCCATCTGTTGATTCCTTATGTCCTTTCTATCAGAGGCATTGTATGTCAGATGACTAGAGCATAGCTGTTTAAATTGTCCCTCACCTGAAACTAGTATAGGTGCTTCACTATAAACAACATAGAACTCAGGGAGTCTTCTCTAAGGTGGTGCTGAGCCTTAGGCTTGAAGTCCAAACAAGACTTTCTTTGCTGACTGGGAAATGCACCAGGATATGGCAGTCATGGCAGATTAAAACACTGCTAGTGACTGTCCAGCTGATGGGAGCACTTACTGGCAGACTTGGCATGTGACATCAGACTGGAGCCCACCCGTAAAGATTTGGTCAATGATGCAATTGCAGTGGTTAGGGTTGTTGGCTTTCTTCCCATTGTCATCACCTGAGGACAAAGAAGTGTGATTACCATTAGTAATGTCACCAAGACAAGTAGTCAGCAAGTCCCCATCACCCAGCAGAGACAGGAGGACACCAGGAGTACCAACACTCCATGAGATATATTTCAACAAGAGATATATCTGGTAGCAGGGGTGAGGTGGGGTGTTAGGGTGTGTCATTCTTCCTTTTCTTTCTTTCCTGGGCCAGGGTAAGGTAGCTCTAGCTGGCCTTGAACTTGCAGAGATCTGCCTGCCCCTGCCACCTGGGTGTTGGGATTATAGATGTGCCAGCATGCTGGCTCTGGGACCGCTATTCTTGTACAGAGGTTCATACCTATAATCCCAGCACTCAGGAGGCTGAGACAAGGGGACAAGTGCTTTAGGCTAGCAGGAGCTACACAGGGAGACCCTGCTTTCAAAAATATCCAAAATCTTAGAAGAAACCATGTCATTTTCTTTAGTGGAAATAGAACCTGACTACACTGTCTCCCAGACAAATCAAGCATTCTCCTACAGTTGCCTGGGTGAGCACCAGCCTTACTCTGCTCCATTTTTAAGGGAACTCCCCGCCTGCCCCAGCCCAGCAGGGAGATGGTGGCAGGCCCACCTTTGCAGTGCCGGTGGAGGACGTCCAGGGCTGCAATGAGGAATTCATGTGCGTCCTGCTGCTCATAACCTGCCAGGTGCCGGGCGTGTGTCCACACCAGGTGCAGCAGCTTGTACGGAATGTGGGGGGAGCGGTGCCCCGAGTAAAACTGTTTAGAGAGAAGGAAAAGGGACACCTAGGACATCTGCCAGTCTCTATCATACAAAAAACATCCACAGCTGCAGACTGGGTAGGTAGTTTGATCAAACAGACTTGTCCGTCTGTCCGTCCGTCCTTTCAGACAGGGTGTAGAAGAAATATAACAGTACATGGGATTAGGATGTTGTTGGGAAATTACTTACACAAGAAACCAAAAATCTAGGTCTCTGCAGCCTTTCAAGACCCGACCAAACCCCCAAAAGGAGCGAGTGCTCCTCTCATCAACCCCTTATTCCACACACCCTCTATGCACCTGTGGCCAAGCCCAAAGTGGGTGTGGTCAGCACCACAGATACCTAGATCTCTCCCTACAACAGGGTGTCTTGGTATAATAGCCTTGGCTATCCTGGAACTCACTGTGTAGACCAGGCTGGCCTCGAACTCACAGAGATCCACCTGCTTCTGACTCCCAAATGCTGGGGTTAAAGGCATGCAATCACCAGCATTGCTTTTCTGTTCACCAACTGATTTTTAAAAAAATATTTATTTATGGACTTTATATATATATATATATGGATGTTTTGTCTGCATGTACATTTGTGCACCAGAAGAGGGCATCTGATCCCACGGGACTACAGTTACAGATGGTTGTGAGCCACTATATGGGTGCTAGGGATTGAACGCAGGACCTCTGTAAGAGCAGCAAGTGCTCTTAACTGATGAGCCATCCCTCTAGCCCTGCAAATTATATTTTAATTTGGAATTTCTAGATTTTACTCTCACTTTTCTTCTGCTGATAAGCCCAAACAATAAAGAGCAAAATTAAGTGATTCATTCTATACAATGAATATACATAGCACCTGCTATCTCTTATACCTGAACGCATTTCCCAAGTTTATCATTAGACTAGTGTTTCTTCCACTAGTGTTTCATTTGTCACCCCTTTGCCTGAGAAGCCACTTTGTGGAAATTCAAGTACACAATGACAAAAAATACATTTAAGGCCACTTCAGAAACTAGGAAGTCCTGCTTTAATTTCAAGCCTTTTTATAGCAACAGCAAAAACAAAACTCAAGCCAGCAAACAGCAATTTTTAAAATCAAACATTCAACATCAGAATCTAAAGTTATATGAAGATATATTTACATGATGGTAGGAAAATATTCAATGTCTCTGTGTTCTGTAATAACACCATTACATTTCTGTAAGAGCAGAAGACTTTGCATATAGTAAAATCACACAACAGTCTTGTCAATGCGGTGTCTCAGGCAGCACTTACTGGCTCTGGCACACATGGAACAGTGTGTGTTGTGTGTTCAAAACCAAGGCTGTGGTGAAGTTACACAACACCACCCTGGCGGCCTCAGAACTGGCACCTACTTGGACTTGGAAGTTTTGGTTGTTGTGCTTTCAGATTATTACTTTTTTGTGACCTCCAGTTTGTCATGACCCATCAAGCCGGGTTTGAGGGCTCCCCTCCTTGGGGTGAACAATATATCTCCAAAAACCAAACCAACAACCTGTATCTCTAACAATCTCTTCCACAGTACAGTCAGATAGTGAAAAACAATTAGGCAAGGTTATCACCAACTGTTTCACTTCTCTTTAAAAGGGAGAAAAGAGGCTGTTATAGGTGTTACTGCACCCACCTCCTGGAAGAGAGAGGACATCTCACAGACCAGGCAGGAGCTGGGGCTCTGCATCTCACAACGGTGCCTGTCTGACAGGAAGAAATCTCTCAGAAGCGGTGTGTGGGTCAGCGCCTGCACAATGCAATTCATAAAGCACGTGTTTCCCAGGTTGATCAGTCCACGCAGACCTGGATGGGGAGCCAGGGAGAGCAGGGTCACTTGTGCACTGAGCTCAGACCCAGGATGTCAGACCCTAGCCAAAGCTTCCTTTCCCTCTCCATGACCAGTCACTTTCTCCAACTCATTCAAGCAGCGTGAGAAGAGTAGGAGGAAAGTGTAGTGCTTTCTAATTTTAAGGACAACAGAATGCTCATCACCACTGCTCCCTCCATTTTGTCCTTTATGTTTTCACAGTATTACCCAAATGTATTTACTATGAAACCAGGTAGGTCAGAATGGAGCCTCTGTAACAAGGCGAATACTTTTCAAAACAAGCTTTAAAATATACTTCTTCCTTCTTAGAAGTGGTTATCAGCTGGGGTGGTGGTGGCACACACCCTTAATCCTAGCACTAGGGAGGCAGAGGCAGGTGGATCTCTAAATTTGAGGCCAACCTGGTCTATATAGTGGGTTCTACGATAGCCAGGACTACACAGAGAATCTCTGTCTCAAAAAACAAAAAAGATCTGGTGAATACTCTCATCACTCACTGGCATCTCATCTCCATGAAGAGCAGCTCTGAGCAGAACACAACAGATGCCAAGGAACTGGGAGAGATCGTCTCCCTCATCCCTCCGGATCCCACATCTACAGCAGCTCCTGAAGACAGGATAGGTTTCCTATCCGCCTGAGGCTCTGACTGCCCCACTCACCTATGGTGCAGGTGAAGGTTTCCTCTCTGTCTGCTGCCCCCACTCACCTATGGTGCAGGTGAAGGTTTCCTCTCTGTCTGCTGCTCCCACTCACCTATGGTGCAGGTGAAGGTTTCCTCTCTGTCTGCTGCCCCCACTCACCTATGGTGCAGGTGAAGGTTTCCTCTCTGTCTGCTGCTCCCACTCACCTATGGTGCAGGTGAAGGTTTCCTCTCTGTCTGCTGCCCCCACTCACCTATGGTGCAGGTGAAGGTTTCCTCTCTGTCTGCTGCCCCCACTCACCTATGGTGCAGGTGAAGGTTTCCTCTCTGTCTGCTGCCCCCACTCACCTATGGTGCAGGTGAAGGTTTCCTCTCTGTCTGCTGCCCCCACTCACCTATGGTGCAGGTGAAGGTTTCCTCTCTGTCTGCTGCCCCCACTCACCTATGGTGCAGGTGAAGGTTTCCTCTCTGTCTGCTGCCCCCACTCACCTATGGTGCAGGTGAAGGTTTCCTCTCTGTCTGCTGCCCCCACTCACCTATGGTGCAGTTGGAGGTGATCTTCCGCCTCTTTGGGTTATGCTTCAGCAGTTCCAGCTCCCGCTTGGTTGGTTCCCAAGTTGAAAACTTCTCTCCAACACCTAAGCAGATGGAAAACAGTCTTAAGCACTGTTAGCTAAGTTCTCTTGTAAATGAAAGCTGTGATGACTTCACCTACACTGAGCTCCATTTCAGAGAGGCAACCTTCTTCTGACACCCTGCTGTGCTGAGGTGCCAGATCACTACAGGTGTTTCCCTCAGTGAATGTCTACGAACACACCATGTTTACTGATTGAGTCGAGGAAAGTAACATGACCAACCCATCAAACTGCCAGACACTAATGCTTCTCAAATGCCTTGGATCCTGGGGTCCAGAGATGGAAGCATCAGCTCCAGTGGGGACAACCTAATAAGTCATGAAGGATCTTTCTGAAAATGAGACTGACAGAGAAAATATACTTTGAGTCTAGGGTGCAGCTTAGTGGTAGAACACTCACCTACAGTACGTGAGGCCCATGTTTGAACCCCAGGACTGCCAAAGAAAGAGAAAAGGCACTTTTTGTTTTTTCAAGACAGGGTTTCTCTGTGACTTTGGAGGTGTCCCAGAACTAGCTCCTGTAGACCAGGCTGGTCTCTTTGAACTCACAGAGATCTGCCTGCCTCTGCCTCCCCAGTGCTGGGATTAAAGGCATGCACCACCACTGCCCAGCGAAAATGCACTTTCTCTGTTTTGTTTGTTGTCTGAGAGTCTCATTGTGTTGCCATAGCTGACTTGGAACTTGCTATATAGACTGGGCTGGCCTCAAACTCAAAAGATCAGCCTGCCCATCTCCCAAGTGCTAGAACTTTGAAACCATGCACCACAGCCTGCTGAAAATGCACTTCTGATCTGCTTGCCAAACATACTACAAAAGACTGGAACCCATGATAATGATAGCCACTAGGTAATGCAGAGTACACTGCGCTCTCACACACCCCACTCAGAGGGACTTGACTTACGCTACTTAAAATTTCCAATTCAATAAACTTTAAAATCAGAATGAGTTTTGTCTTCTTCCTGACCCAGGCACCGCCCCTCAGGAGTCACAAATCACAGGAGCAGTAGGGTACCTGGCCAGACTAATGTCACTGGGAGTGAAGGAATGAGCTGCGGGAGACGCCCATCCATTAAACCAAATGCCAGTCTGCACAAACGCAACAGCCAAGGCTGACTCTCCTTGGCTCCTTGTGTCTCACTGTCTCATCAAGTTCTACCCTCACCATACCTCAAGGGGGTGCAGGCTCACTGTGACTGACCTCCTGTGTTAAGGACATTTTAGAGAGAAAATGTCAAAGTCCTCTAAATCATATGTAGAGGGCCGGAGTGATAGCTTGGGGGTTAAGGACACTGATTGTTCTTCCAGAAGACCCAGGTTCAATTCCCAGTACCCACATGGAGGCTACCAACCACGTATAACTTCAGGTGCCTTTCTCTGGTCTCCTTGGGTACCAGGAATGCAAGTGGTACCCAGACATACATGCAGGCAAAATGCCAATACACATAAATTACAATAAAATATTTAAGGGGGGTGGCTGGAGAGTTGGCTCAGTGGCTAAGAGCAGTTACTGCTCTTGCAGAAGACCTGGGTTCAATTCATAGCACCCACATGGGGTTTACAACCATCTGGGAGGCAGAGGCAATCCAATCCTAGGGGCTCACTAGTAAGACAGTTTCTTTGAAATGTTGAGTTCCAGGTTTAGTAAGAGATTCTGTCTCTAAATCTAAGATAAAGATCAACTGAATACCTGATGTTGACATGAGGGCTGCACACCACTACACACTGGCATGTACACAAACAAAATTTAAAACTCCTTTCCTTATAGTATTTTCACTATGGGTTTCTTTTCCAGGAATACTTTGTATACAGTTGTTAACTATGAGATTTTATTAAGGCTACAGTGCATATAAAAATCATGGAGGTAGCTGGGCAGTGGTGACACACACCTTTAATCCCAGCACTTGGGAGGCAGAGGCAGTGGATCTCTGTGAGTTCAAGGCCAGCCTGTTTGAAGTTTCAGCCTGGGCTGTTATACAAAGAAATCGTGTTCCCCCAAAACAAAGCAATTCATGGAGATAGTGTTTGTTAAAGATCTTTGTGTAATCCTTATTATAATGTAAGACTTATTTTTATTTTTTTCGAAGACAGGGTTTCTCTGTGGCTTTGGAGGTTGTCCTGGAACTAGTTCTTATAGACCAGGCTGGCCTTGAACTCACAGAGATCTGCCTACCTCTGCCTCCCCAGTGCTGGCAAACAAAAAAATTCAGGAACTGGGTAGCTTCCATATAGATAATAAACTGAAGGATTATCTTACTATATTAAACTTTGCCAAGAAGAGACATAATATTTTGCATCAAAAGAGTAACTGTTACCATATACTTTTGTTAAGTGCTTAAAGTTTCAAAACTGCCTTTTACTAGGTAAAATGTAAATTTAGGAAATAAAAGTTATAGGACTGACACAGTGTGTGTGAGGGGGACTTATGCATGGTTTCTGGGCTTTGCTTACCTGGAATACACATGTTTTGTGAATGCTGAGACAGGCTGTTTTTGCTATATATACAGAAATCTTAAAAACGAGAACAAATTTTCTAATGGTATTGTCTACATGATGCATCTAACTCCACTGCCAAGAGTAGCTCATATCATTTAGGCATAGGCATTGTGGCTTGAAAGAAAATGGCCCCCAAAGGGAGTGGTACCATCAGGAGGTGTGGTCTCGTTAGAGTAGGTATAGTCTTGCTGGAAGAAGTGTGTCTCTGTGGAGGCAGGCTTTGAAGTCTCATGTATGCTCAAGTCAAGCCCAATGAGACAGACCACTTTCTGTTGCCTGCACAAAATGCAGAATTCTCAGTTACCTTTCCTGTACCACATCTGCCTGCATGCTGCCCTGTCCTGCAATGATGATAATGGACTGAACTTCTGAACTGTAAAGAGTCGCTACAATGAAATGTTTTCCTTTATAAGAGTTGTCATGGCCGGGCGTTGGTGGCGCACGCCTTTAATCCCAGCACTCGGGAGGCAGAGGCAGGTGGATCTCTGTGAGTTCGAGGCCAGCCTGGTCTGCAGAGCGAGTTCCAGGACAGCCTCCAAAGCCATAGAGAAACCCTGTCTCGAAAAACCAAAAGAGTTGTCATGGTGTCTCTTCACAACAACAGAAACCCTAACTAAGACAGGCCTATTTCAATATTTTTTGTTTCTTCCTTTTCTGTAGTGCTGGGATTCAAGACCTAGGCCTTGTATATGCTAGGCAATGGTTCCAGATACTTGGTCCAATATTTAAGTCCAGCAAGAGGCAATACATCTTAATTTGCCAGGGTTGAGAACTGAGTAAGAAAATGGAGGAACTGTACTGTCTAACAGACCTTCTGCAGGAAGGATGGACAAGTCTGGAGTATTGCAGTGGAAGAGCCATCATCCTCTCATAAGGATCAAAACCCATTTCACTAAATCTACATGGTCCCTGCATGTTTCATCACTTCTGTGAGATGTGTGACTGACCCAGGAAAAGTAGGCCTTGTTTTTTCTCTCCTACCCAGACTAAGCCAGCTCCCTTGACTATTTTTTGGTCACATAGCCTTCTCTAAACACCGTGAACACACCTTGCAACTTCCACGCCTTGCGCTGTTCCTCTTTGGCAATGATTTCTATGTCCTTGTCATAGATGTAGTCCTGACACAAGAAGCAATATATCCCTCCATACATCAGGTCAATAGCTGCAGACAGAAAGGAGGGAAGAGAACAAAATTAAATCCAGCATGACAAGGTAGTGCTTCAAGCAGCTGAACATGAGCCAAGTGTTCTAGACACCAGCTGTCCAGAGCATCTTCCTCTGTGAGCTGCAGGAATTCCAACTGCAAGGGTTTATCCAGGGTGGGTGAGTACGTCAGTCCCGGAGGGCTGAGCAAGAATGGGAGGCACACATCTGTGACTTGCAAAGCACTGATTCAAGGATCCAGGTGCTCTGCTGCAGCTGTGCAAGCACAAAATGCAAAACTAGGGCAAAACTTCATGGAGTATTTTATTTTAGGTCCACAAGAGTTCTTATCGACCTGATTAGGGAATGAGACTTTGCTACATCCTCAATGGCTGGCAATCTTGTAAGGGAGACTAATAGCAATTTGCTGCTTCCTCTTATCTTGACTATGTGTTGTTCTTTTTCCAAGGACAGGAGAAACAGGTTCCGCTCAGAAAAACCTTACTTCAAAGCATAGAAACTGAACTTATAAAGGTATCTGTCCCAACTGCTACTTCATAATTAGGGACTGAGATTGCTGAGCAACAGGGATTCCAGGTGTCACTTTCTGAGCTGTTGCCATCACACTAAAACTGAGGGACTTGGGGAAGGAGGTGGACACAACGATAAGATGGAAACTGGTGGCTGTACATGCTAACATTAACCAAGATCAAGTGTGATCATGCATGCCTCTAATCCTAGCAAGCTGAAGGCTGATAAAGGAGAATCCCATGTCTGAGGCTATCCTGGGCTACATAACCAGACTGTTTAAAAGAACAAAGCAAGTGCTGGACATGGTAGACATATATAATGCTAACACTGGGGAGGTGGAAGCAGGGAAACTGGAAGTTGGATTCAAGGTTATCTTTGGCTGCATGGCGATTTGACAGCATGAGACTGCCAACAACACCACCCAAACAAGCACACGCATGCACAACTACTTCCCACTCTTGATGTCATATGATGCTTAGCTAGCCTTTCATGAACCTGCACTACTGGAAACCAGGAAAACCCATTGCTAAAGTATAACACCAGTTTAAAAGGCCTCAAGCAAATGGTAAGACCCACTGGAGAGAGTTCAGTTTCACAAGGAGGCTTTCATCACAGTGGGCTTTGGGGAAGGGAGCATGCTAACTGAGCCAATGCCTGCTCCTGCCCCTGCTGCAGGGGGCGCCTTACCCAGGTTGTGCCGCTTTGACTTTGCATGGTCATGAATGTGCTTCTTCGTGAAACAGCCAAAGAAGACACAGTAGAGGCACGAGTGCAGCCTGTTCAGGTGGATGCCGCAGACATGGCAGACGCAGGACTTTGCCTGGAACGTAGACAAGGAGTTATGAGCAGTGTGGATGCAACAGGAATTCCCAAGGGGAACATGGAGTCCGAGTCAGGGGATCACCACTGGGACCCGGCAGGAGGAAGTTCAGGAGCTTTCTTCTGAGGCTTTACACTTTAACACATCACTCCACTCTTTCCATTTTCCCCAAAGCACTTGGTTTAGCTCAACACCAAACCAACAAGAGAAGAGCTATGGCGATGCCATCGTTTTCCCACCCCCAGCAAATGCCACCTGCACTTCAGCCGGCTGCTCAGACCCAACAATCTATAATTCTAAAAGCAATGTACAACGAGTTTAAAAGAAAAACAATACCAATATAAAACAACCCAAGAACTATAGGAAAGAGACAAATGTCAAACCAATACATAAACAAAAGGAAAAATCCACTGCCAATAATCAGGCCACAGAAACCCAGCAATGCAATCATAGCAAATATGAAAGCAGTGGGAGACAATTCTACATACTCACACTACCCAAGAATGTGCCAGTTTGTAGCACTGTGGGTCAGGTATGCAAAGAGGAAGGGTCAGTTATGAATGCTCACTGGGCAACCAGGACACAATTGGACATAGGTATCAACAGTAAAAAAGACGGGTGGTGGTGGTGCACACCTTTAATCCTCTCGGATCTCTATGAGTTTGAGACCAGCCTGGTCTACAAGAGCTAGTTCCAGGACAGCCTCCAAAGCCACAAAGAAACCCTGTCTCGAAAAACCAAAACCAAAAGCAAAAAAAAAAAAAAAAAAAAAAAAAGGAGTAACTGGCTTGTGAAATGAAAACACTCCCAAGCCAGAGGGAACTTCAAGAGAGTGGAGTTCTGTGGACAAGCTCAGGTACCTTCAACGAGACTACCCATCTTCATTTCCTACTCCACTGTAGTCCAACAAAACATGACTTGTGAATGTCACACTGGTGTCTGAATTTTGGATTGTGAAGATCATTTAATAAAGAACTTCTAGCACAGTGGATATTTAAATATCGAGCTAAGCAGTCCTAATTAAAAGGAAAATTTTCATTTCCTTCTGTGATGCTATGCAGAACTAAGGGGGGATGGAGGGGAGTAAATGATAGAGAAAGGGGAGGAGCCCCCATTTACTCTCACATAAAAATTTGTTTTACAACACACGGTAATCCAGGAAGCAATAAAATGTATCAGTGACAAAATTATGATCGTGGAACACTGGTGTCAATCTGACATTCACCTCTGTAATCCCAGTTCTCACAAAGCTGAGACAGGAGGATTGGGTGTTTAAGGCCAGCCTAGACTACGTAGAAACACTCTCATCTCAAACACGAAACCCAAGTCTTAGTATTTCTTGTTAAAGGGCATATGCTTCTATTACCAAAAAATACCTGATCCTAACAGGCTGTTACTGAACATAAGCCTAAAAGATATCATTGTGGTGTCTTCCACCATGGTTGATAAAAAAGCAATTTAAGGCTTAGCATGACATACAACCAGTGTCAGTTTTCCGGTTAAGAAACGCTACTCAAGACGGAAACAATCACCCTCTCTCCAGTTTTCACCTTCAAAATCAAATTATAATAATGCAGTTTTACAATCATAACTGCTGAGATTTACACGACCAGTAAACAACAAAACAGCCACTCCCTCGATGGCTGCGGATGTCAATCACCTCCTGCAACCTACAATCTCGCTTCACAACTCGAGTGCGCAGAGGCCCTGCCAGCTTCATCCGTCAGCAGCAGCGGGTCTCAGTCCCTGCTGCTATCCACAGAACCACCTTGCAGGCCCCGACCCCTCACGGCGACCTTCACAGCAAGGACTACCCGGCAATGAACGTCTAAGCTTATCATCAAGGTGGAGAGCCTTCCTCCTCAGGCTTTTTTGCTCAGGCCCCACCTCCCGGCACCTAGAGGCTTCCTCTAGCCACCATCCCACAGCTCCAGGAAGTCCCTTGCCCCCTCCCCGCACAGCGAGGCTTTGCCTCGCCCCTTCCTCTGCTCCTCCCTGCGCCGCGAGGCTTCTCCCCCCCCCTTCCCTAGTTCCCTCCCTGCAGCTCGAGCCTTCCCCTCACCCCGCACCGACAGGCTCCCTTCCCGCCCCCCCCGCCACACACACCCTCCCCGCGGTCCAGGCAGGAGAGAGGGACAGGCCTAGGGCTCACCTTGCGCTTGCGGGCCTCAGCCGTTCCGCTCCACACGAAGCACTGGTAGATGGCCCGCAGGTTTTGCTTCCAGTTGTCCACCTTGAAGCTACCCAGGTGCGAGCAGCCCGGAGGCGCCACAGACAGCTCAGCATCCATGGCTTCGACCTCAGGCTCGGGCCGGGCGACCATGGCGGGCAAGGCCCGGGCGCGCGGGGCGGGCGGCGACGGGGGTGAGGACGACGCCAGCGCGGCGAGAACAAAGCGGCGGACAAAGACGGCGCCGAGAACCGAAGCAGGCGACCGCAGCACCTACCGCTCACGCACCACTCTCCAGCGTCGAGGAGGGCGGGGCGGGGCGGGGCCGTCCACGGGAGAGGATAACGTCACCCAGGCCGACGGCCGCAGTGCGCAGGCTCCACCGCTCTAGGCCCCACCCCACAGCCCCTCTCGAGCTCACTGGTGGGGGGGTGGGGCCAAAGGAATCCCACCCTCGCGACACGCCATTGGTTGTCTGCCAGTCTGAGGCACGATCGGCGGTTCTCATAGGCTGGAGGGCTGGTCCGGTTTGCTTTGGAGCCGCCTCCCGAGACGCTAGCGACGTGACGTTTCGAGTCTCCACTTGGAAGGCGGGGCGTGCTAAGGATTGGGTAAAACCGAGTGCCCATCAGGCCACTAAACCGGTTTGCACCGGCCTGAGCTCTGCTGCAAAGAGGCGGGGCGCCGGACGGGGTGGGACCGGCCTGCGTCTGCGCTTTCTCTTCTAGGAGGGTTTTCTAGGTCCTGTTTGTTGGTCACTGGAGTGTCTTGTGCGGTCGTCTCTGCATACTGCCATCTTGGCGACTGTGTTGGGTACCGCAGTGCAACAGCAGGGGTTGGGCGCGGCGAGAACACAGACTGAGATCCCTTCTCTAGGGTCTAATCCAGTGATTTCCTGTTGAACTAGAATGCCAGCCAGCATACTAATAAGCATGTAAAATTAATTTTAGCAAGTAATCCAACAAAGACTATCGTGTCAACGGATGATATTGTAAAATTGTTAGTGCAATGTCCTAAAAATTTTGCATTGACCTTGGAATCTCGTATTTTACACATTGGGTACAGCATATTCAATTTGTACTAGCCACATTAGACACACTAGGTCCTATTAAGTGGATACAGTACAGACCTATAATGCATTCAGCCCTCCTATATCTGGGGTTACACAGATGAGTAGTCAGTCAACTCAGTCTTCCCTCCCTACAAATTGTATCTACTGAGGAACTACCACACACAATTATTCCTTAAAAATTATAGCAGCTAGGTGTCACACTCTGGTGACAGGTACTCATGATGTGGAGCAGTGAAATAATTCACCAAGACGGAAGTAGAGAATTCATCAAATGCACTGCAGTAGCAGTAGCTAGCAGGCAAAACAGCAGAGAGAAACTACCAGCAGGGTTCTGAGGACTGCTTTTATGGTGGTGGTGGTGGTGGTGGGTCCTATAGAAACAGACAGCATCTCGATGTCATGGTTCCCAGGAACAACTGCAGTTGAGACTCTGGTTAGCAGCAGTCTGGCCTCGATGGTCTTACCCAAATTTAGATATGGCTTAGCATACTGTCCATACATTTACAACCTATGATGAATTGGGATCGCCCAGAGATGAGTTAAAGCATACAGAAGAGCAGAGAATGTTGGTGTGTCTGTGTCTGGTTGAGGTAGGAGGATCACTTGAGCCCAGGAGTTTGTGGCCAGCCTAAGCAAATAGCGAGACTCATTAAAAACAGAAGTGTGTGAATGGGGGCAACTCAGTAGTGTACATACAGGGCATATAGGTTAGAGGCAAATGTTACACCATTTTATAGTTCTTGAGCATTTGAGGGTTTTGGTGTACTAAGGGAATACTATGTGTAAGCCAGTTGCCCAGGGCAGATGGGGGAGGGGGACTGAAGAAAAGTACAAGCACTGTTTTAGGAAATCAAAGAGATCAGGGAGCTCCTCAGCTTAGATGTGGTACTATTCATGCGTCCATATCCCACTGCTCACTGTTTTACAGCATCCCAATACAGGTGGGACAAAACAGCACCTCCCATCCAGTTTGTCATGATCCCTAAGCTCTTAAAGCTGTGGGGTTTAATGAATGGGACACTAGAATCCAGAATCGGTGTTGATAAATGGAAAACTAGAATCAAGAATCCATGTTGATGAATGGAAAACTAGAGTCAAGAACCTGTGTTGAATTGGAAGGTGATGGCACCCACCTTTGATCCCAGCACTAGGGAGACAAAGGCAGGCAGATCTCTATGAGTTCGAAGCCAGCCTGGTCTACAGAGCAAGTTCTGGGACAGCCAAAGCTACACAGAGAAACCATCTCAAAAAATCAAACAAACAAAAAATTCTTGTTGAGGACAAATTAGCAGACAGCCAGAGCCTCTACCTAAAATGCTTCCCACCACTCCCAGCATCCCACAGTATAAACTCCCTAACCTCCCAGGTTTCATCAGAAGCTTCCTTTACAGTACGTCTTCCACTGCTACACTGTTGCAAATGACAGTCACCCACCCTTCCTGCTTTATTTTACTTGAAAGAATATATCATCTTTTTGTTTTGTTTTGTTAGACAGGGTTTCTCTGTATTGTTTTGGAGCCTGTCCTGGAACTCGATAGGTAGACCAGCCTGGCCTCCAACTCACAGAGATCCACCTGCCTCTGCCTCCCAAGTACTGGGATTAAAGGTTGGTGCCACCAATGCCAGGCCTGAATGTATCACTTTTTATTATTTTATTTTATTTTACTTTTTACGAGACAGGGTTTCTCGAATGTATCACTTTTATCTGACAGTGTACAGTTACTTGTTTAGTTTGCTTTCTTTTTTGTTTGGTGTCAGTGTGTGTGTGTGTGTGTGTGTGTGTGTGTGTGTGTGTGTGTAGGGTGCAGTTTAGGCAGGGTCTTATATTGCCTAGATTGACGTCAAACTCACTATATGTAGTTGAGGATGACCCAACTCCTGTACCCACTTTCCAAGTGCTGAGATCACAGGTAAACAATATCTTTTCCAGTGTTTAAGATTCTACGGATTGAACCCAGGGTTTCCTGCATTGTAGGCAAGTACTCTAACACCTTAGCCACATCCCCAGCCCTTAGGGTTTTTGTTTTTGTTGTTTTTACTCCCAATGAAAAATTAGGCCAGGCAGTGTTGGTGCATGCCTTTAATCCCAGCACTCTGGAGGCAGATGCTAGTGTGTCTTTGTGAGTTCAAGGCCAGGCTGGTTTACAGAGCTAGTTCAAGGACAGCCAGAGCTGTTACACGGAGAAACCCTGTCTCAAAAAACAAAAAAGAAACCAAGAAAAATTGATGAGGATGTAATTTGTATGTTTTATTTCCTACTTTCCAATGCCTACAAGAATATTTGAGTATTCAAAATTACCTGCTGATGTATAATTTGGTGTCTTAGTTAGGGTAACTATTGCTGTGACAAAACACTAAGATCAAAAGTAACTTAGGGAGGAAAGGGTTTGTTTCGCACACAGTTCCACTTTGCAGTTCATCATCAAAAGTAGTAAGTGCAGGAACTCAAGCAAGGCAGGGACCTAGAGGCAAGTGCTGACACAGAGACCATGGAGTGTTGCTGCTTACTAGCTTGCTCTCTTGAAAGGGGTAAACTAAACTCAAAGGCTTCACTTCTAATGATTTCTAAATAAAGGGATCAGACCCTCACTCAGCCCCCTGCTTTAGTAGCCATGACAGGCTACAGAAAAGACATGTAGGCCTCTGACACAAGGAAACTCCAGAGCCTCTGTCTTTTCAGAGTCTAGGGCCAAAACTGAACACAAAGAAACTCCAGACCCCACCTTCCCCCCCCCCCCACACACCCAGCCTCCTAGATACTTGGTTCCTGGGAACTGTTTGGTCACAAAAGAAACTCCAGGAAGGGACTAAAACCTCCCCTGTAGTCTCCAGGATATAGTTCTGAAAACTATTGGTATCTATGTACAACAGGCCACCTGCAAGTAATAAGACAATGCCATAGAAGCCACAGAAGGTTCCCTCTCAGCACTGACCAATGAGAATAATCAGTACTCAGGTATTTCATGCCAAAATACGACTTTGAGAAATTCTACTAATTGTTCCCAAATGTCAACCAATCAGAAACCAATCCGTACCTACTGATGTAATCCTGCAACTTTTGTCTATAAAACCTAGCAGTAGACAGGGAACTTCACTCCCTCTGGAGGCTGCTGCAACAGCTAGCCAGATGGGGTCCTTGTCATGGGTGGGTGAACAATTAAAACCTTGCTTTTGCAGTTTAGTGTGTCTACCTTCCTGGTGGTCTCTGGGGACTTTGCAACTTGGGCACAACACTCTATGGCTTGCTCAGCCTTCTTCCTTATGCTGTCTCAGTGTTTGTCGTGTGCTGTTTAAGCTTGCTGCAAGCGGACTCTGACATAAAAAAGGTCCTCCCTTGCCTCAGACTTTATGGCAAGTGTTCTCTGATCAAGTTGTCCCCCTGACTGTATAGCAGGGAGAGGGAAAACAGCAAAAAACTAAGAGTATTGAAAACATTGTGTCTTCGGGTTAAGGTAATATATACCTTTAATCCCAGCACTCAGGAGGCAGAGGCAGGCAGATCTCTGTGAGTTTGAGGCCAGCCTGGTCTACATAGAGTGTTCCAGGACAGCCAGGGCTACACACTGAGTGAGACCTTGTCTCAAAGCAAAAGCAAATAAACCAAACTAAAGCAAACCAAAACCTACCTTGTGTAGAAAGAGACTTTAAGGACTGCGCTGCCGCTAACCAGGTGCGGTTCACTAGAGGTGCATACGGATGTGGTAATGAAAGGGCGGTGAACTATGTTGCTAGCCATGCCCACTTTGGGCGTGTACAGAGGTGGGAATAAAAGATCGTGCAGGAGAGTACTCCTTTCGGCTTCCGGTTCTGTGGCAGAAAGCTGCGCTGGTTGCCCATTTTCTCTTGTAAGTAATTTCTACAATAAACAGTTACCTATACCCTCAACACGTGTGCTTGTTGTTACAACCTTGTATCCTTGAGGAGAGATAAAAAGTTAATCATCTCAAGCAGTACTATTGTTTTTCCCGTGGCATAAAAATTAATATCAGCAGAGGGGATGGAAAGCCAAGAACTCATTGCTACTCTTAACTAGGAATGACAGCATTACTACTTCTCTCCCAGTGGATTTCTGCGAATGTCTGAAGCTCTGAGTTGATGATGTCATCTTTGCTTTCTCAATCTGGCCACTCTGGTTGTCTCTGCATTTGTTGCAAGCACCTGCTCAGATGGTGTTCAGCTGTCTGCTTCATTATCAATTTGCTTCTTCCTATTTGTGCCAACTTTTGCTACATGCTTAAACTA